TGCCAATGCTTATACAACTGCATACAAAATATCATTGACCTACCACTAGTGGTTCCCCATAAATTGACCTAATCACAAACTAATACATGTAAACTATGAAAAGTTTCAAAGTCAATAGACCTTGACTGAGGGGGCTGAGCCAAATAATCTCCATGGTAATGAGATGTGCCAATGCTAATACAACTGCATACCAAATATCATTGACCAACCACTAGTGGTTCACCATGAACTAGACCTAATCACAAACTAATACATTGTTGACGCCAACGCCGGAAACAGCATACCTATGTCTCGCTTTTTGACTCCGTCAAGGCGAGACAAAAATTTAACTGCCGACTGTATGTAATGTTAACTCGAAGAAAAACTTAAGTCCATTTATAAGTAAAATATGGATAAACAAGTACAAAATTTTAATAAAAATTTCCTTCTAGATACTAGCTTTTGATCATAAACAAACTTCTGTCCATGTTTGGTACAAATCCAGGAGAGTTTAAGAAAGTTATCAAAATTTTAAAAACTTTTATCCACAGAGTGAATGTAATGTTTCCTGGCAGAAAAACTAAGTCCATTTATAAGTAAAATACGGAAAAACAGGAATTTTTTTTTTTTAAATTTACTTCTGGATACTATCTTATGATCATAAGCTTCTGTATAAGTTTGGTAAAAATCCAGGATAGTTTAAGAAAGTTATTAAAATTTTAAAAACTTTAACCACAGGGTGAATGTAATGTTTCCTGGCAGAAAAACTAAGTCCATTTATAAGTAAAATACGGAAAAACAGGAATTTGTTTTTTAAATTTACTTCTGGATACTATCTTATGATCATAAACAAGCTTCTGTCCAAGTTTGGTAGAAATCCAGGATAGTTTAAGAAAGTTATTAAAATTTCAAAAACTTTTAACCACAGAGTGAATATTTGTGTATGACGCCGACGGAATGTAGGATCGCTATGTCTCGCTTTTTCGACAAAAGTCGAAGGCTCGAAAAAAAAAAAGGGACTTACTGGTAGTTTTTATGCATTGATCATGTAGATAAAAAATAGGGAATGGAATAATATTTATGTCCTGAACAGTCATTCAGGATAAAAAACTAGAGGCTCTCAAGAGCCTGTGTCGCTCACCTTGGTCTATATGCATATTCAAGAGGGGACACTCCAACATTGTAGACGAGAATAGAATTAATGACAAAAATCTCTGGTTCTTTTTGTATCTTATATTGCTGATCATTGAAGTCTGTTTAGTTTCTCTCTATCTTCAGGATCTTATTTAGCTTTTGCTCTAAACACAAAGAGAGGGTAAAAAAACTCCTATAAAGAGTAACAGTCTACTTATTATATCAGCAAAATTTGACTTGTTAGTAGGTCTAGTCTTGCTTATCATTTTTGATTATTTAAGTTTCTATCTATCTATTATAATTAATATATAAGGAAAAACGCCAAAAAAATGGTAAAAATCATAATAAAAGGACAATTACTCCAATAAGGAGTCGCTGAACCATTTCTGCCATTTGTCTTAATTGTAGATTTTGTCTTGCTGATCATTTTTGTATATTTAAGTTTCTTTCTATCTATTATAAGTTTTAAGATATAAGACAAAAACGCAAAAAAAATTGTACAAATCGGCATCAAAGGGAAATAACTCTAATAAGGAGTCAACGGATGATTTCAACCATAAGACTTATTTGAAGAACTTGTCCTTCTGATCATTTTTGCAATTTAAAGTTTCTCTCTATCTTTTATAGTTTTCAAGATATGATAATAGGCAAAAATCGAAAAAAAGTGGTAAAATTTGTCATTTAAGGGCAATAACTCCTACAGGAAATTGTCTTACAGTTTTGACGTATATGGATAATTGGTAGAGCTCAACATTCTGAACAATTTTACCCTCTTCAGATTTCCTCTTTTTATAACGGTTATCAGAATAATAGACAAAACTTGCATTTTACCCCATATGTTCTATTTTTGGCCATGTCGGCCATCTTTGTTGGCAGGCAGGGTCATCGGACACATTTTTTAAACTGAATACCCTAATGATGATTGTGGCTAAGTTTGATTCTATTTGGCCCAGTAGTTTCAGAGGAGAAGATTTTTGTAAAAGATCACAAAAATTTACAAAAAATGGTTAAAAATTGACTATAAAGGGCAATAACTCCTTTAGGGGTCAACTGACCATTTTGGTCAAGTTGACTTATTTGTAGATCTTACTTTGCTGAACATTATTGCTGTTTACAGTTTATCTCTATCTATAATAATATTCAAGATTATAACCAAAAACAGCAAAATTTCCTTAAAATTACCAATTCAGGGGCAGCAACCCAACAACGGGTTGTCCGATTCATCTGAAAATTTCAGGGCAGATAGATCTTGACCTGATAAACAATTTTACCCCCATATCAGATTTGCTGTAAATGCTTTGGTTTCAGAGATATAAGCCAAAATCTACATTTTACCCCTATGTTCTATTTTTAGCCATGGCGGCCATCTTGGTTGGTTGGTCGGGTCGCCGGACACATTTTTTAAACTAGATACCCCAATGATGATTGTGGCCAAGTTTGGTTAAATTTGGCCAAGCAGTTTCAGAGGAGAAGATTTTTGTAAAAGTTAACGGACGACAGACACCAAGTGATGAGAAAAGCTCACTTGGCCCTTTGGGCCAGGTGAGTTAAAAATCTCCCCGCTAGCCAAGAGGGGACTGGATCATAACCCTTGGATAGCATAAAAAACAAAGGAAAAAACATAAACCCCTGATAAGATCTCTATGTTTCATCTCATAGGGACACAACTTGAGAATTTTAACAGTATAAATACACATAGATACTGTAAATCAGAAGTTATTGCGATGTTTTTATTATTGCGAAAAATGCGACAGGGTAATAATCGCAATAATTTAAACTCGCATTTTGAAATTTTTCATATGAATTAATTAGGATTTTTCGCAAAAATTAAAATCGCAATTTAGTCTAAAATGACAAAATCGCAATAATAAATGCACGCAATAATTTCTGAATTTACAGTAGCAGCCAAATTTAATTCTGAGGAAGACCCAAAATGAATGGAGGGGTAGTACAGAATTTTAGAACAAATTTAAACTCATGTAGAGTTTGAGGCATATAAATGTTGAAAATTTGCCACACAGTCTTATGTTTTGACCTTTAAAAAAAAAAATACTGTATATGAACTTTTGTTCTAGGATATAATTTTTTATGAAACTAAATAGTAAAAGTAGCACAGTTTTAGCTGTAAAAGGAGTTCCTATGGGGAATGGTCTATATTTACAGAAATGCAACCTGTATATGCCTGTCCCAAGACATGAGCCTGTAATTCAGTGGTTGTTGTTTGTTGCTGTATATCGTATTTGTTTTTCCTTTAATGTTTTGTACAAAAATAAGGCCTTTAGTTTTCTTGTTTGAATTGTTTCACCTCTGTCTTATAGGGCCCTTTTATAGCTCGCTGTGTGGTATTGGTTTTGCTCATTGTTGAAGGCAGTACAGTGACTTCTAGTTGCCATTTTCTATTTCATATGGTCTCTGGTGGAGAGTTGTCTCATTGGCAATCATACCACATCCTCTTATTTTTAGCTCACCTAAGGGCCAAGTGAGCTTTTCTCATCACTTGGCGTCCGTCGTCCTGCGTCCCTAAACTTTTACAAAAATCTTCTCCTCTGAAACTACTCGGCCAAATTTGACCAAACTTGGCCACAATCATCATTGGGGTATGTATTTTAAAAAATGTGTCCAGTGACCCCGCCAACCAACCAAGATGGCCGCCATGGCTAAAAATAGTACATAGGGGTAAAATGTAGATTTTGGCTTATATCTCTGAAACCAAAGCATTTAGAGCAAATCTGACATGGGGTAAATTTGTTTATCAGGTCAAGATCAGATGATCAGATGAATCGGACAACCCGTTGTTGGGTTGCTGCCCCTGAATTGGTAATTTTAAGGAAATTTTGCCGTTTTTGGTTATTATCTTGAATATTATTATAGATAGAGATAAACTGTAAACAGCAATAATGTTCAGCAAAGTAAGATCTACAATTAAGTCAACTTGACCAAAATGGTTTGTTGACCCCTTAAGGAGTTATTGCCCTTTATAGTCAATTTTTAACCATTTTTCGTAAATTTTTGTAATCTTTTACAAAAAAATCTTCTCCTCTGAAACTACTATGACAAATTTAACCAAACTTGTCCACAATCATCATTAGGGTATCTTGTTTAAAAAATGTGTCTGATGACCCCACCCGCGAACCAAGATGGCCGACATGGCTAAAAAATAGTACATAGGGTAAAATGCAGTTTTTGGCTCATATCTCTGAAACCAAAGCATTTAGAGCAAATCTGACAGGATAAAATTGTTCAATAGGTCAAGATCTATCTGCACTGAAATTTTCAGACCAATCAGGCAAGACGTTGAATTGGTAATTTTAAGAAAATTTTGCAGCTTTTGGTTATTATCTTGAATATTATTATAGATAGAGATAAACTGTAAACAGCAATAATGTACAGCAAAGTAAGATCTACAAATAAGTCAACATGATTAAAATTGTCAATTGACCCCTTAAGGAGTTATTGCCCTTTATAGTCAATTTTTTACAATTTTCAAAAATTTTGTAAATTTTTGTAAATTTTTACAAAATATTTTCCGCTGTAACTACTGGGCCAAGTTCATTATAGATAGATATAATTGTAAGCAGCAAGAATGTTCAGTAAAGTAAGATCTACAAACACATCACCATCATCAAAACACAATTTTGTCATGAATCCATCTGTGTCCTTTGTTTAATATGCACATAGACCAAGGTGAGCGACACAGGCTCTTTAGAGCTTCTAGTTATAGTTCACAAAGCAACAGTCTGCAGAAAGACATATCACCTACCAGGACACATTATTTGGACTCGAGAGACGACCAGTTTTTGCTCTTGCTCCCAGATGCTGTGTGCTTGGCCAAACTTGTTTATGTATATATCATATGTGTATTCAAAAACTGTTTGCACTAAAAAAAGTTGCTGTATTACATTTTATTTTTGGTACTTAAGTACAGCATCATAATTCTAAATATACAATTAAAAAAAACAAATAAAATACTATACAAATTGTTCTTCAACAAACTTGTTAACTACATATTATGGTATAGTATTAACAATAAAAAAGTTGCTATCTAAAAAAAATATATAACAATATTTACAAGTCATTCATTATATTTGGCAAGCCTCAAGTAATAACAATGTATTGTGTAAATCATTGCTCTAATCAAAGTTTTTAATCCTAGTTGACCATGCCAATCAGTGTAAAAAATTCAAAGATGTTCCCACCATAAGACCCAACATTTCTTGGGAAATTTTCATTCACACGTTTTTTTCTTCTTTTGATGTCCCTCCAGTCTTTATACAATCTTGCATAGCAAAGAATTTCTAAAGGTTTTTTACAAGAATATTGACACACTATGAACACATCCATTCATCAACAATTCACTTGCATATTTTTTTTTTCAATTCCCAGTGCTTGCTCTATTATGAAGCATCATATCAGCTGCAAAAACTATCTTAACAGCCAAGGAAAGCACAACTTAATATAGCTTAGATCCTTTTATTGCTCCCGTTTGATATGTCACAAATATCAGAATGGGAGCAATTAAAGATTTTAATTTTTAATCAGATTGAGTTGAGCACTATATTAAACTGGAAATTTCAGTATATAAATTTTTATAGTACTCCAGATACACTTTCTTTCTCAAAAAAAAAACCCCCCAATTAAAACAACCCTTGAAATATGGGGCAAAACCCTAATTTGACATAAACATATAATGACATATATGTTAACAGATACCTTCACAATGAACTGGGAATCAACTTGATGTAACCACAAACTACCTTAACCCAAACCTTTAATCTGATACAGGACAAACAGACAGACAGATGCACAGACTGGAAAACTTAATGCCCTTCTACTATTGTAGGTGGGGAATAAAAATAATGATTTTACTCCACCAAAGCAAATGTGCATAACTTTCAAACTTGTAGTCCATCCTTAAAGGTAATAACGTATTTTCATGTCAACCAATTCTATCACAAGATAAAATATACAATGTCAAATATCAAATTTCATAAAAATGTTACATATCAAAGGAGTAAGCTCTATTATCTGGCTCCTATTATTAAGTTCAATGTTTAAAGATAAAAAATGTTTTAAGTTGATGAAAAGTCATGTGAGAAGGTTAAATAGAGCTATTTTTGTAGAAGTTTTATTTTTAAGCATTGATTTTTACATCCCAAATAGGTTTAAAAACAGAGATTTTTGCAAAATTGGACAAAATAATCCGGATTTCAATCAAGTTAAGGCATAGTAAACATAGAGCACAGGTGTGACAAACTAAATATTCAAGTCAGATATGTAAAATGTCATAACAAATACTATCTTAAAAGATCTATTTTGTCAATGCATGCACTCCATGTTTCCTGTCCAAAAAATAATGTTAATTTACCTGTTTTCATTGAATTTATTTTTCGCGGAAAATCAAAATGAGTCCTATTTGTGACACCATTAATAGAATGCAGGAACGTAAATATTCAACAAAAAGATGTACATGTTTTTCCTATTTAGTAATTGTATTAGCTATGATTTATTGTGACATTGGTCAATAAATCCTAATTTCAAATTTAAGCTAGAATCAGGGGCCATTCTAGGGCCTTATATCTAACCTACTCCTTTCATTAATTCAAATGTTCCCACCAGCATTTCTGGTATATTGTATTTCTAAATACAATGGTATAATATATGATTTTAGACATTCTAGCACTTAAACATTTAGTACCCAGACTAATATTTGCTTCTTTTATTTTTGTAAGTTGAATTATCTGCCCTTGGATCAGAATTCTTCTTCCTTTTAAGTGTCTCCATGTATGACTGACTTGTTCTGTAGCTGGATTGAAGTCCATCATCAGTCTCCTGAAGAAGATCATCACTTCTAGAAAAAACACTACTATTCCCATCATCTAATTTCCTAAACGCTGGTCTTTTCTGTGCACCCTTTGTTGACAGCATCCCTGCATTGTATGACTGAACATTATTTTCTGAGATCACGCCAGAATTGTACATTTCCCTGGACACTGTCTCTGGTCTTCTAACTGTTTCTGGTTGCTGTGGTGGTATAAATGCGTGAAAACCGCCTTCTTTCCTAGACATTTCAATAGGATTGATATTGTGACTGTCATCGGGGACACTTTCTGGTTGGTCGTCATACTCCTCAAGGAATGTCTCTATATGTTTCAGTCTACCGTCTACAGATATCAGTACTTGCTTTATCTGTAATAAAAAATAAACAATGCTGATGGTGTGATTCCACTTGGCATCAGTGATCCCCCATCTAACTTATGTTATCCATAAAAATATTAATGAGGCACAATTACAGAAAACTCAACAAAACTGAGCCAAATAAATTTTTAAGTACTTAAACTTCAGAATTAATAATCTGAAAATTATAGAAATTGAAACTGCCAAATAATTTAAGAATGTTCGCTACTCTGCTTCATGCCATTGAAAATTTTGCGGGAAGTGATTCTCTCTAGATTTTTCATACATTTAACATTGGCACCTTTTTTTCTTTCTAAAACTATGAAAAAATAACAAGGATTTTGTAAGATTTTCAAATAAAGCTTTTTAAACTATACGTAACAAAATTATAAAAAGAAAAGTAGGGGTTAACCAGCAAAATATTTATTGGCATTACATGGATAAAACTAAAGGATTCTGAATATCTGACAAAAATTCAAAAACAAGAGGAGCAAACATCCTTAATATTATTCATAGGAAACAAACTTTAGGAGTGATTTCCTGATATTAAACAGTTTGAATGTTTGATGGTAACTATCATAAAGACCTCACTCATTCAGTATTATTGTGTCTTTAAAATAAGCATTAGTCATTGTTACCAACTATTAACAAATATATATATAGGATATTCACAAAAAATTCCTAGAAAATGCAAACAGCCTTCAAAGTTAAGTAGCTTCTGAAATGAAGTCGCCAACTGGCCACCAGATATGAAAATTTAGAGGCCAACTCAAAATTTCAGTGGCCAGGAAATAATTTCAGGTGGCCTACATTTTTTTCTAGCTAAAAAACCCTTGTGAAATAAAAGTATTATGTTTTTGTTCTGTGTTTTTATTTAATTTTATTTCATTGAACATGTTTTATATCAATCTGCAATGTTTAGCGGTAGTCTGAAGCCCCAGTCTAGTAAAATCTCTAAAATCGTTTGCGAAATTGTAGCCGGTATTTAACTGAATCTATGAGAACAAGTTACAATATTGTCGCCGACCTTGTTTCATCTGTTTACTGACGAAATCGAGAATGAGGCTCAACCATGTGCTTTCAATAACACAATCTATAAATGCCAATGGTTTTCTTTCTAACGGCACGTAATAGTCAAAGTTGTGACTGAGTGCTAAAATACGAAGAAGATAGATCTGTGCCATTTTCAGTCCATGCTTACAAATGACCAACAATTACCTGATGCAATAAAGCGCTGACAAGATCAAGCTGAAATCCAAAAGGCGCTTGAAATACAGTATAAATTTGTGTTACTGTCAAGCGCTCAGACAATTTTTAAAACCAAACTCTGATCAGGGCAAAATTTCCGAAAAATTTACGGTCGCCAGATTTTCAATATTCTAATAGCCCAAATGGCGACCAGTTAAGAATTTTTGGTCGCCAATCAGCTTTTAAAGTCGCCCAGGCGACCATTTCAGTAGACTAAATTGAGGGCTGGCAAAGACATTCTGTACTGACTTTCAGTTTGAAGCTAATACTGTAATAACTGAGTCAAAAATGTTTTTGTATATTTATTATTGCCATTGTTGAAAAGTGGACAGAAATGCGATGTTAATTGTTGCGATTTCAGGAAATGCTGCATAAAAATGTGAGTTTTTATGTTTGCAAAATCTTTCCCATCACTATTTCCGCAATAAGAAAATCCTTCTTCTGTAATAAATATATATAGCATATGATCACAATGAAATTATTAAAAGTTATACCTTATTTAATTTGGTGTGCATTTCTTTCAGTTCTCCAAAAGACAAAGTGTCATCTAAGGTCACAGCTTGGCAGTTCTGTGAACATGAACCAACTTGGTAACTGCAAAAAAATATTTATATTGTACACATTATACACTTCTGCTACTGAATCAAAAGTAACCACATTTAAATTTTGCAAAATGTAAAATTTTCAAATTTTTGGAAAAATATAAATAGGTTTATGAATTTTTTTTGCTTAATTTTGAGAAATAAACATTAAAACAAGAGACTCCAAGAACACTAAATGGCTCCTTTGGCAAAATTAGCCCTTCATACAAAAAGAAAAAAATGAATCACATATGAAATGTATGGTTCAGTTAGTGAGGTCACAATATAATACATCCTTTAAATCATGTTATGTAGCAAAATTGAGGTACCTCCTTTTCAAAATGTCTTGACGGAAACCATTTTGCCTTCATTGAGATCTTTAAATGGAGTACTACGGTACCTTAACCCATTCGCCCTAAATCCCACCCGTAGTCATGATGGCGACCACCATTCTTTGATGGCCTGTATGACCCTCCATACTTTTTTTAGAACTGCCCCAGCTGAACTGTCTTGACAGCAGGGACTTCAACCATGCAATTCATAGTCCATAAACTCTTCTCAGATGTGTATTTATGAAAATATGGCAACTTTAATGGCCTTTTTAGAGTTCAAAATCAGAAAAACATGAAAAATAGCCAAAATCAGGTGGGGGTGGGAGTCTTGATTTCCACTACATTACTGGTATGGGCTGTAGGTATTAACTATTATCATAAATACATGCATAGGTGGTACAGGAACACAAGGAGGTATAATATGGCCAAAAGAAATCTGGTCTGTAAAATCTAGGTCACCGTTTTGTCAGAAATCTGTAAAAATTGACATTTAAGCAGACCTGGCTTGCCAATAATAATTCCCCAGCAAGACACTCAAGTCACATTTACTTCCAGTCAGTATGGATGGACTGCTGTAATTTCAGGTAATACTTGAATGACAAAGAAACACAGTTCGGTCAATGTTCACCTCTCAAGATCGTATTAAAATCGAAAATTTTTCAGTAGGGTTGGGTTCAAACCCACCAGAAAATATGATGAAATAAAAAATAATAAAACAGTTCCATAGAAGATGGACTCTTGACAAGGTTATAACCACATCACAAATAAAGTAGTTGAATATTTAAGTTCTTCAAAAGAATTTCTGTGCTATTTGTACCAATCTTACCACTTTAGGCTCTTCCAGCCATTAGTTCAAAGTAACAAGACTTAGAACATTCTATGTAATCAATGTTCTGGGGCTTTTCACTATTGTTTATTCCCAAAAAGTGCTTTGCCTTTTTTATATGTAAAAAAAAAAAAAGATCCCATTGTACAATAATAAAATCGAACATTTTAGGTGGGTTCCATTTTTTGCAATATTCTACTAGAGTATTAAATAACTCATCAATTTGTCATGTAAAGGAATCACATCTATTGATATTGTTAATTGAGGTGGATGATATGGGGTGCTCATTTCCCAAATCCCGCCTTTTTGAAATTTATTTCCATTTCTCACTTTTAATCCTTTTTCCCAGATCCCACTTTTTAACCCCTTATATCCCACATCCCCACTTTTTTACCCCTATATCCCACACACTATTTTTTTACTACCCCTAATCCCACATCCTAAAAGCATTTCAATCCCCTCTTCATTGTAAATTTTTTAGAGAATGTGGATTAAATTCTGATTATTTTTTAATATTAAATGAAAGTGCATTGTCACCTGGTAAGTTTATCGATAAACAGTGAGAAGAGGCCACGTAAATGATCCAGCTGAGTTGGTGTTGTCCTGTACATTCGACCAATCTCTTCATTACATACTTCACATTTCAGCACATTAAAGGCACTAAAAATAGATAGTTAAAATTAAATACAAATTCAAATATCAAAATTTAACATCTTAACAATCAGCTGAACCATGAGTGCAAAATGTTTTTTCATTTCAAAATTATTGATTATTTGTCCTATTGTCTCAGTTCTTAACTCTGTAATCATGGTAATAGAAAAGGTAAATGTTAACAGCTAGTATTTACTTCCCTCCTTCGACAATATCACTATACCTGCCGAAATCTGTGCCATTCTTTGATGTTTCCAAGACTTCTGTAATCAAAACTTTTTCAGATGCATCTGTAAAATGATAATAAAAAAAATACTCTCATATAGTAAATCTAAATATCAAAAATATTTGTACATGTGCATAAAACCAAGTACAAACAACAAAACAATAATAGACGATATCATGTTTCGGGAAGCTCGCAATTACTGAATGCAAGCTCAAAGTAATTTATCTGCTGATTTCAAAATACCTCCACTGTAATATCAGTAGCTGCACTTCAGAACAGATTTCATACTGCAACACCATAAAAGTACAGGAGGTACAAGTATTAAGTTCATTGTTTCAAGATAAAAAGTGTTTCGAGTTGGTGAAAAGACATGTAAGAAAGTGAAAGGGTTTTGCTTATTGTTGAAGGTCGTATGGTGATCTATAGTTGTTAATTCCCAAGTCATTTGGTTTCTGGTTGAGAGTTGTCTCATTGGCAATTATACCACATCTTTTTATTTTTATAGTTTTATCAAATCAAAGGATGGAAGATGAATACAAATATGATATTCTGTTTCAAAATGATTTGCCTCATCTGTGGCAAAATTACCTGCACAATAATTGCATACTCAAATCATGAACCCTTGAAAGTGTGTTGAGCTATTCCTCCGATTTCTTTTGGACATACATTATACTTCATAATGTGAAATTATTGTTATGTTTGCCAGTCATTAATGCTGCTGTGAATTTTCATTTTCAGCTGACAGAGTCAATATGGTATATCCTTTTGATGTTACATATACATGATAAACATGTACACAAAAGAAAAGCAATACAATGGATGAAAAAGACAATTTGAGTGCTGAAAGATGGGATATAGATATAGGAAGATGTGGTATGAGTGCCAATGAGACAACTCTCCATCCAAGTTACAATTTATAAAAGTAAACCATTATAGGTCAAGGTGCATATTTGCATCTTGTGTTTTTAACAAATGAAACGAGAGATTAATCATGTGTTCGTGAGAGGATACCACATAAATTTAAATTAAGTTGGAATATGATTGACTGTGCATGGGCTGTATCGTCATAGGTAATCAAGATCCCAGGATAATTATATCAATATTAAGCACGAAATTTGGACATACTTTTCAAACTGACAGTCCTCAATACATCATCAGCAAAAGCCCAAGCGGTTGTATCCCCAACAATTGAACTACATTGTGAACATTGCAAAACTAGAGTCTCATTGCCATTGGGATTTTCTTCTGTTGGGTTTTCATCTATGCTGGGTGCATTTTCTAGGCTATCTACACCATTGGACATTGCGGTGTTCAACCTTTCCCGCCAAATTTTTACAGTTTAATAATTAGCACGTCAGAAAAGTCCACCTAAAAGTTGAAAAGCGTTTCCGAGTTGTCGTTTGGTATATATTTTTTTTTTAGAATAGTAGATACATTTTTTTAATTGAATTTTCTAGTATAATCAGGTATATCACAAGATTAATAAAAAGTAATTGAATATCACCCTATTCCAGAGTTTTACTGTATGTATGATTATATTTTTACACAGCGCACCATGATTTTTTTGTTTCTCTTCCCGTGCCATAAACATCCCCATTTTAAGTGAAACCATGTTGAACTTTTCTAAAATATTTCGAATAGTCAGTCGATACTCATTACCATCTGTAGTGTCAAAGAATTTCACATATAATTTATGTCAAAGATCAACACTTTCTTATTGTTGTTTCAAGAAACTTCAAGGAATTTCAGCTGAAAAGAAATCTCAAGACACCTATAGCTATTCAAACTTAGTAACACTGTGTTGTCCAACAGTGGAAAGACATTTTAGTACTACTGATAACTTGCAAAAAAAGAGAAAAAAGATTGAACAAGCAGACAATTCAGATTCAGAGACTGATGACAACGAAGACTTGGAAGAAGAGGTTTGTACCAAATATAAAAAGTGTAAACAACAGCATCAAACAATAGGTTCTTACTATAGCTGTAACATAATTACACAAGCATTGCAAAACAGAAAATTTTCTAGAAAGTCCATGAATTCGAAAGTCGTCTATTATATAAAAGTCGGTCCTGTTCAAGAGACGATACCCCCTGAAGCCGTTAAAAACCTGAATGTCCCTCTTTTTTACCAAAAGTTCTATTCTTTGGGTCTAATATCAGTATTATTGACAATGCAAACTGTGCCTGTTTTACTCAATCGAACACGTTACTTTTTCCTGGAAAAAAGGACGTCTGAAAGCAAATATCTTCAAGTCACATATTGTATTCTTCTTCTTTAAGTTTCTAGCGATCCTTCAATTATTGAAGATTATTCGCCGGGCATCGACTATAAAATTTTATAATTTACATTGTAGCAAGAAAAATTAAAAAAACAAAATCAAAATATCAAAATAATGTATGTACATTTGAAAAAATTTCATTTAGATAAAACTATATACATTTGATAACAAAATAGTTAGGGATAGAAAATGGGGATGAGAGCAGATTCTGAGATCATACTCTTGAATCCCTGTACTGTACTGCATGATACTATTTGTTGTGGCAGATGATTCCAATTTATAACTGTTCGTGGATAAAATGAATATTTATAACTGTCTTCAGATGTTTGTATTTGCCTAAATGAGTGTGGATTGCTATGTCTAGTTCTATTGTCTAGTGGGATAAAAAGGTTATATGTAGGGACTGCAACAATTTCGTGTATAATTTTGTAGAAGAATACAAGTCTGTATCGTAAACGCCTAATTTCAAGTGGGTACCAATTTAAGTCTGTCATCATTTCAGTAACTGAGCTGGTGTTATGGAAGCGGTTGCATGAGAAGCGCGCTGCTCTTCTCTGAACTTTTTCAATTTGTGAAATTTGCTGTTTTTGATGTGGATCCCAAATAGTTGAGCAGTACTCTAGTTTTGGTCGGACAAGAGCTTTAAATGCATGTGCTTTAACTTTAGCAACATGTTCAATGGGACAATAGAACTGACAAAAATCGACATTTATAGTTCCCTGGTGAATTATAAATAATAAGGTTCCAATTTATTTTGAAAGGCATTTGCTTAAGAAGATTATATTCAACCAGAAAAGATATCAATGGAACAATAAAAATTATAAGTGGAAGGAAGAGAGACTTGTAAACACCCCCACTGATCACATCCAAATGAAAAAAAACAAAAAGTCTAAAGAAAAAATGGACAAAAAGACAACAACAAAAAGCAGTCCATAAAACTATACAGAAATTGAACTTTGTCTAGATTGAGCTAACTATGTATATACTGGTATCAACTTGAATCCCAACCAAAAATGGATAGGTAACATAGGTGCAGCTGCTCCAGAAGGGTACCGGTAATCTGGTAATAAATTACATAGAAGATCATATATTATTAAAGAATTATTGAAGAACAACTTAAACATTTGAATTAAAGATTGAAATACTTTTTACATGTTTACTATTTTTTTTTCAGTCAGATGAAGAATTTGAGTTATATGAAGAGGATGAAGTAGCAACAACTGAATTTGTAGAGAAAGAGGTTGTAGTGTCAGCCATGAGGGTTGATGCTTTGTTAGCCAAATCTTTGGGAGAAAGTAGAACGTAAATATTTGACACAGCTTTCGTTTATATTGTGTTATCTTACTACAGCTCATTACTCTTTGTGACTAAAATTTGAAAAAATGCCCCACTAGAATCTCAGGATTGAATGGTTTAAGAATGTAAACTACTTAACATGGGAGATAACTCAATTAGCCTCAGCAATTATATCATCAATACTCAATACAATTTTTCATAATTTTTTTGTTGATTTTCTTTTTCTTGTATCTTAGTAATTCCATGCTGTAATAGAAGATTATTAGCAACAACCCCTTTTCACAGAAGTTCCCTCCAACATCTTTGGCAGATGTAGGAGACAGGGACAAGGGGTGCGCATTTCCAAATCCTTTTTTTTTTGTAATTTTTACCACTTCCAATTATCCCCCTTATTTTCCCCAGATACCACTCTTTTTTACCCCCTATAATCCACATCTCCACCTTTTTTTTTACCCTTTATATCCCATATCCCCAATTTTTTTACCGCATATATCCCTCATCCTAGCAGGTCACATAGGATGGAGCTGAGCTTTATTTTCATTATTTTTCAAGAACATGTGGTTTGTGATTTTCAAAATAAATTTTGGCATTAACATAGAGTAATTATATTATATTGAAGTAAACAATTAGGTTTTGAAAGTTTTATTATGTAGTCAGGTCAGGTTAGGAATTTTTGTCAGATGTTTAGACTCCTGGGATTTTTTCCTACAATACAGGGTAAAATATTTTGCCCCATATCACCCACTTTTCTTTTCATAGAAGACATCAATAGCTCATAAAAAAGTCATTACCAAAATTCAAGCAGATTCTTGATTTCTTTCGTACGATTTGAGACCCAAATAATGTCAATGCTAAATGTAAGATAATAGTCTGAGTTAGCCTTTTCCCGTCATATTTTTAAAAATCAAATATCTCAAAAAGGAGTTTCATAACCTATCAATATTTTTAGCATATTTTGTTCCTTTACTAATGCTCTTCTGACTTGTAGTACCAATTTTAAGTTCTAGGTTTTTTTTAATTTCACCTAACTACATCCTTAACATTTGATTTTTTGATGGGCTCATTCTTACTTGAAGGGATTTACCAGTTATATGACATCTCAAATTATACCTTTAATTTACTTACAATTTATCAATTCTGTTGATAGGAAAATGGATGAGGAGTTTTACACTAAGAAATTAAGAGTAAACGGAGAAGTTTTCAAAAATAAAAGTTCAAAGGTAGGTAAACTGACTTATTGTTAGAACCAGTGTTGCAGCTGATTCATTTATTTTCCCTAATACCACTTGTCCTAGATATTTGATTTAGTGATTTTGCCAAAGTCTGCATGCAAGCTTATAGCATTGAAAATTTAAATTTGTGGTTCACATACACCTGCAAGATCCATAAAAAATTGGTTCCAACAAAAATAATAAATCCACTACAATTAATTACAAACCAAGGGGATAGATATTGACTGTTGTGTTGTGACATTGGATGTTGGATGTGTACTGATTGATATTTTAGTCTTAGATTAATGATTTTTGTCTCGCCTGCTACGAAGGTCGTGGAAAGCGAGACATAGGGATTTTTTCTTTCAATGGCGGTGGCGTCAACAATTGTTAAGTTTTCTTCTTAAGTTAGTTTGATAGGAACTACTTGTGATAAATCATTGATATTTAATATAAAGTTGCATTACTATCAGTACATATCAGTTTGACGACTATTTTGAGGCCCAGCCCCTAAGTCATGATCCAGTAACTTTGAATTAATAAGCAATTTTCATTGTTAAGTTTTCTGCTTTAGTTATTTTGATAGGATCTACTTGTGATAGATCAATGATATTTTGTATGAAGTTGCATTACTATCAGTACATATCAGTTTGACAACTATTTTGAGGTCCTGGCCCCTAGGACATGCTCCAATTGACTTTGAATTAATAAGCAATTTTCAATGGTAAGTTTTCTGCTAGAGTTAGTTTGATAGGATCTACTAATTTTTTTCTACCTGTGATAGATCAATGATATTCTGTATGAAGTTGCATTACTATCAGTACATATCTGTTTGATGACTATTTTGAGGCCATGCCCCCTAGGTCATGCTCCAATTGACTTTGAATTAATAAGCAATTTTCAATGGTAAGTTTTCTGCTTGAGTTAGTTTGATAGGATCTACTAATTTTTTTTCTACTTGTGATAGATCAATGATATTCTGTATGAAGTTGTATTACTATCAGTACATATCTGTTTGACGACTATTTTGAGGCCATGCCCCCTAGGTCATGGTCCAGTGACTTTGAATTAATTAACAATTTTCAATGTTAAGTTTTCTGCTTAAGGATGTACACCTCTGAGGAGCCAAAAAATTCTAGAATTAAACTTTTTTTCTTAACCTGATTTTTGGGATTATATGACTGTAAAAAAATAATTGATGAAGAAAAATTCATATGGTGGTGCACTTCTTTTTTTGCTAGGGTCCTTTGAAAGTACCCAATTTTGATGATTTTCTCATTTTTCATCAATTTTTACCCATTTTTGGGCTATTATCGTGAAAAAAATCACAGTTCCACAATTAAACTTTTTTTCATACTTTCAATAAAGATGAAGTGGACCAATCTGAATAAATTTAACTTAAAAAACTATAGGTAGGTGTTAATAAGTTTTGTCATATTTTGATGCTTTTTCGTGTCAAATTTACCATGTTGTCAATTTTGTTAATTTGTGATTTTTCTCTATTTTAAGAACAAAACGCGTATTATTTCAACTTCTTTGTTATAAATGATTGAAAAAATACATATCTAAGAAATTTGAAAAGAAAAAAGTGATATGGGATGTACATATTTCTGGTAAAATCATTTCTTGTACCCCTCACCCATTTTATCAAAATTTGGGCTAAAAAGAATGACTTGATTGGTAATAAAATTTAAAAAATTTATTACTCAAAAACTACTTATTGTAAATACACAATTTTTTCATAGAGTTAAGTTTGATTATAACATTTTTTAAATTCATTGATATTTTCCACTTGTATCACATGTTTTGGAAATAATTCCAGAACGAGATTTCAACGAGACTGAAGCATCAGAAGAATACATCCTTAAGTCAGTTGTGACAGATCAATGATATTTTGTATAAAGTTGCATTACTATCAGCACATCTGAGTTTGTCAAGATCATGGTCCAGCGACTTTGAATTAATAAGCAATGTTGCTGCCCATCAGATTGTCTTTTTCTGAATTTTATGCGGACAGGCGAGACATATCTATGTGTCAACAGTTTATTCTATTAGTTGTTATTGGCTTTGATCTAGCTGTCAGTAACTTTGAGTACTCTCAGATCTTTACTTTAATGGTGTGTTTTTGTTGTTTTGGGATGTATAGATATGCTGCTATGTCCGGTCTGTGTTTTTGTTAGATGTTTTCTGCTTTTATCGATCTGATGAGTTAAGCCCTTTTCAACTGATTTTTATAGTTTGTTCTTATGTTGTACTGTGACACCAATGTCCAAGGTTAGGGGGAGGGTTTAGCTCCACCAAACTAGTTTAACCCTGCCACATTCTGTATGTGCCTGTCACAAGTCAGGAGCATGTAGTTCTGTGGTTGTCGCTGGTTCATGTCTGTCAACTTTTTTTTTTCGCAAATTGTTTTGTTATAAATTAGGCCATTAGTTTTTTATCAATTGAATTGTTTCATATTTTTCATTTCATGGCCTTTTATAACCGACTATACAGTATATGTTTTTCTCATTGTTGAAGGACATACAGTTGCCTATAATTGCTTACATCCACTTCATTTTAACTTTGGTGGATGGTTGTCTCATTGGCAATCATACCACATCTCCTTATTTTTGTTGAGCCTTCGACTTTAGTCGAAAAAGCGAGACATAGCGATCCTACATTCTGTCGGCGTCGTCCACGTCGTAGTCAGCGGCGGCGTCCACAAATATTCACTCTGTGGTTAAAGTTTTTGAAATTTTAATAACTTTCGTAAACTATCCTGGATTTCTACCAAACTTGGACAGAAGCTTGTTTATGATCATAAGATAGTATCCAGAAGTAAATTTTGTAAAAAAAATAAATCCATTTTTTCCTAATTTTACTTTTAAATGGACTTAGATTTTCTGCCAGGAAACAACACATTCACTCTGTGGTTAAAGTTTTAAAAATTTTAATAACTTTCTTATACTATATTGGATTTGTACCAAACTTGGACAGAAGCTTGTTTATGATCAAATGCTTGTATCTAGAAGGACATTTTGTTTTCTTCCAGTTAACATTACATTCAGTCTGCAGTTAAAGTTTTTAAACATTTATTAGATTCATAAACTATCCTGGATTTTTACCAAACTGAACAGAAGATTCTTACAATCAAAAGATAGTATCAAGAGGAATATTTTTATTGATTTACTTCCTGATTTTTGTTGAGCCTGCGATTAACAGAAAAAGTAGGCAAGACACTGGGTTCCGTGGAACCCTTACGAATTTTTATGCTGTTTAATTTATAGTTATTTTTTATCACCAAGGTGGATAGAAATGTTATGGTGTAGGCTTGGTTTTCACTCCATATGTATACCAGAACATGACATTATTTAACATAATTCTACATTGACCTGAGATCAAAACTTGCATTTATGTCCAGGTAATGAAGATTGTAGGTACAGCTTTGATATTAAAACAAGATAACCTCATGAATATCAAAATCAAAATTAAAAAAATTAAAAAAATCAGTACCTATGGAAATAGAAAAATCCAGAGTTTCTTATGTATAAGAATAAAAGTAAGGCTATAATAATAAAGAATCCTGATTATAACCCAAAATATGTATTTTGCTTTATTACTATTTTCTTTCATTTATACATATAAATAGGTCCCCCTGTCCCAATTTAAAAAAAAAGTTTGATGAGGATATAGGATTTTTTTATTATGGCCTTATTTGTGAAATTGTAATTACATTGTAATTTTTATCTTTTTTTAGGTTGCCATAGGAGATTATATAGACAGAATAGTGGGACATAAGTTAGGACATAATACTGTGCAGCGTGTCCGTGTGTTAAAAATAAAAGCAAAAAAAACAAAGAAAGGGAATAGCAAAGTTATCTGTAGAGTATGGACCAGTCCATTTACAATTAAATGACATCTCTAGAGTCTGGACCAGTCCACGTACAATTAAATGACAATAATTTTACATAGAAATCTGGGATTCATACCTTATATATTGGTCTCAGTTGAAAAAGAGTTTCAAAAACATTGAATTTTATAGAAAGAAACTTGTCTATGCTATCTTTGTCTAAATGTCATGTCAGTGTTATTTAAATGAGAAATTCTGTGAAATGTGTTTAAACTATTTCTTTAGGACTGAATATTTTACTACTCAGTTAAATGACTACAATATATTTTGTCAGGAGTGAAGCCCCTAAGGTGGTCAGTTCCCCTTGGGCTGAAATTGTGTGGTTTTTTTTAGTACTTTTTTCTGATTTTTGACTTTCAAACCCCATTTTTTGAAAATCCTTGATCTGCCAATGTTACTTGATGTTCTCCTATAGTAATTCACTCTAGACAGTTTTCTTGTTCATGCAGGGTTCTGTATAGAGCAGTTTCACTTAAAAGTTGTTTGTTAATTTGACTACTGAATGATTTTCCTTTAAACGAATTTACAAATTTCTTGCTGAGACCAATAAGTGAAATTTGCACTCAGATGTACATGAACTCTTCTAAACTTTGCACAAAGCTTGAATGTTTAGTTTTTTTTGAGAGATTAAGTGTGGTTTGTTTACAATTGTGTTATTACTTAATCAACCCCTGCATTATATATCACAACACACAGGAAAAGTGCCTTTGCTTTGTTTTTGTTGATTTTTTTTTTATGTCCTGCAAATGTTTATTTGTCTGTTCCTCCATTTCGGTATATAATTCTTGGTTAAGTTAGTTTACCATGAAGATGGGATCACATAACTGAAAGCTTAGTACTCATATTCATAAGGATTTGAACTTTTAAAATATATTTATTTCGTTCCTGTGTGTCTGGTAATTCGAAAAATATCTAGATACTGTAAATTCAGAAATTATTGCGAGGTTTTTATTAATGCGAATAATGCGACTGGTTGATTATTGTAATAATAAGAACTCGCATTCTGATATCTGATACATATATATGTATTTAGATTTTTCTGAAATCTCAAAAATAAATATAGCTTTTTTGTCCATTCTTCAAAAATGACGATAATAAATGCACGCAATATGTCGAAATACTTTGTGAATTTACAGTAATCTTTTGGTTAGAATGATAGCAAATTACAGCGTTATCTCCCCTTAATTTTTAATTTCCAGTGCATTTCAACCAAATTATATCTTGAAATATCAGAACAGGAAAAAGAAACAAGTGCACCATTAAACATTCGGAACTTAATAAATTAATGTAAAGTTAAGCCGCTTTTTGTTTGTCATGTTTACACCACTGCCTGATTCTTAGGCAGATTGACACTTAAATAAAATCTCACATTTTTGTTGATTTTTGAACAATCATAATAATAAATGCAAACAAAAATTTCTGAAATTTTCAGTATTTCACGGGAACAATGTTTGTATTGCTGTTCTTCGTTTTGACTGTTGGAAATATGAATTAAAAGAAATCACGTCATTCCGTCAGTCTGTCAGTCCGTCAGTCCTGTTTCTTGTCATCGCAACTCCTCTCAAACCACACAACAGAATTTCACGAAACCTTTTTAGATAATAAGGATATACTATGTAGTTGTGCATATCGACAGGAAATTACGATTCAATTCTTTTTCTAGGAGTTACGCCCCTTTGAACTTATTTACTTTAATGTACTACTGCAACAGTTTGTCATCGCAACTCCTCTCAAACCACACAACAGAATTTCATGAAACCTTTTCAGATAATAAGGACATACTACGTAGATGTGCATATCGACAGGAAATTACGATTCAATTTTTTTTCCAGGAGTTACGCCCCTTTGAACTTATTTGCCCAATATACTACTGCAACCTTTTGTCATCGCAACTCCTCTCAAACCACACAACAGAATTTCATGAAACCTTTTCAGATAATAAGGACATACTACGTAGATGTGCATATCGACAGGAAATTACGATTCAATTTTTTTTCCAGGAGTTAGGCCCCTTTGAACTTATTTGCCCAATATACTACTGCAACCTTTTGTCATCGCAACTCCTCTCAAACCACACAACAGAATTTCATGAAACCTTTTCAGATAATAAGGACATACTACGTAGATGTGCATATCGACAGGAAATTACGATTCAATTTTTTTTCCAGGAGTTATGCCCCTTTGAACTTATTTCCCAATAAACTACTGCAACCTTTTGTCATCGCAACTCCTCTCAAACCACACAACAGAATTTCATGAAACCTTTTCAGATAATAAGGACATACTACGTAGATGTGCATATAGACAGGAAATTACGATTCAATTTTTTTTCCAGGAGTTACGCCCCTTTGAACTTATTTGCCCAATATACTACTGCAACCTTTTGTCATCGCAACTCCTCTCAAACCACACAACAGAATTTCATGAAACCTTTTCAGATAATAAGGACATACTACGTAGATGTGCATATCGACAGGAAATTACGATTCAATTTTTTTTCCAGGAGTTACGCCCCTTTGAACTTATTTGCCCAATATACTACTGCAATCTTTTGTCATCGCAACTCCTCTCAAACCACACAACAGAATTTCATGAAACTGTGTAGATAATAAGGACATACTATGTAGATGTGCATATTGACAGGAAATTATGATTCAATTTTTTTTTCTGATACAATTTTTTTTTCTTAATTTAATTTATTTTTCCAATGACAATGTGGGAACGTGGGGTATGTGAGCGCGCTCACTAAGGTTCTTTAATTTTTTAGTCATTTTGTTCCATTTATAAATCAAATGTTGATGGTTGTGAGGAATGTTGGAATACAAAAATAGCAGTTTTGTTCAGAAATAGAATTTTTCATATATGTGTATGCATGTGATTGTGCTAATTATAAAAAAAAATAATGTACTGACTTTGTTATATATGCCTACTTACAAATATATTCAAATAAATATTTACATTATATATTATAATATCCTAATCAGAGTTAATTGTTTTTTGGCATTTAAAAAGTTTTATTTTGCTGCCTTGATGGCAGATTTTTTATGGTCTTATATAAGTTTATTAGACACAGGGGGGATTGATATTGTGTAATCCTGTGTATTAACCTCTAGGTTTTTGTGTTGTTGAAAAAATTCATAGTTCTTACTCTTTTTTTTTTATACTTCTTTGAATATCTGAAACGAAAAAGTAAAACAAATTAAAAAAAAGGGATATAAGTCATATTCAGCATTTTTTTTTTACTTTGCAGCGTCATGAGCTTTTGGCAAAGTGAATTTATGTATAAATAACTGATACATTCATTTGCTTATATCACATGTCTTATGAGAATGATTTATATTCAGTTTTCAATATTAGGTATTCTTGTATGTGAACAAAGCCATGGTCTAATTTTAATAAAGCTTGATGTCATAATTGGATTTAAACCATTTTGCTTACACTCAGTATAAAGATATAGCATTGACGTTTGATTAGACCGAAAAGTGGGGACAAACTTCTGAAAGTGACAAGCAAAGAAGATATATTCATGTCTGTCCATCAACAATTTTTGTAAACGTAAAAATCCAAAAATGTAGAGACAGAAATGATCAGAATGATGAGATCTACCTATTCTCAAAGCTGTTAGACGACTTCTTACAGGAGTTACTGCCCTTATATGACAAATTTTACCAATTTTTTTTCATTTTGCCTATTGTCTTAAAATTTATAAAAGATAAAGAGATACTTTAAAAGCAAAAATGATCAGCAAGACAAGATCTACAATAAAGTTAATTTGGTCTTAATCGTCAGACATTTTGCTTATTTGAGTTATTGTCCTATTATGATGATTTTTATCAATTTTTTGTATTTATGTCTAATATCTGAAAAACTATAATAGATAGAAACTTGAAAAAGCAAAAATTTTCAGCATTGTTGAAATTATCTGATGAATCTCTATTGGAATTATTGCTTTTTGATGATGATTTTTACCACCTTTTTGGGTTTTTGCCTTATCACTGAAAAAAAACTTTAATAGATAGATAAAACTTGAATAAGTAAAAATGATAAGCAAGACGAGATCTACAAATAAGTGAAATGGTTCAAATCATTTGAAAACTCTTTTTTGTAGTAATTACCCTCTAATGATGGTTTTTATCATTTTTTTGTGTTTTTGCCTAATATCTGAAAAACTACGATAGATAGATACGAACTTAAATAAGCAAATATTATCAGCAAGACAATATCTACCAACAAATCTGTGTACCGTAATTATCAGTTCACTCCTTATTGAAGTTATTGTTCTTTAATGGTGATCTTTACCCATTTTTAGTGTTCTGCCGATTATCTTGAAATCTTTTATAGATAGATAGCCACTTTTAACAGCAAAAATGGTTAACAAGACGAGAGATTTTTGTCATGACTTCTATTCAAGTCTAAAATTTTGGGGAGTGTTCATTGTAGAAGATGCACATAGATCTAGGTGAGCGACACAGGCTCTTAAAGTCTCTTATTATTGGTTCTTTGCCATATTGATAAAATGTTGCAGGTTTTTAGACCTGATTTTCTTAAATGGCTGTCTTAAAATAAAAGGAAGGGAGATGAAATTAAAGTATCCTGGTAAGAATTCTGGTTACTGGCAAATAAAATTGCAATTAGTTGGTTTGTGCAGACCAATGGTGTCAAAAAAATCTTAAGGTATAAGTGTTTATAGTACACCCTACATGAACCTCTGTCATCTTCCGAGATGTCATATTTTAAATTCAAGCTGAGAAAAACTACAATCAATTAGACTGCCAAATTCCTCAAAAAACGAAAATACTATGTGTTATGAAACCTGAAATAACAAAATGAATTCAGACTTATCAACCAAACTTAATAATAGATTCAAAAGTATTACAAAATTCTTCATGTGAAAAATTATTAGGTGTTAAAATTGACAGCACACTTAACTGGAGAAATCAAATTGACCAAGTTTGTGCTAATATATCATCCAGAATATACCTTCTTTCTAAAATAAAGAAATTTTTAGATATAAATGCAAGGATAACATATTACAATGGATATATTCTGCCCCTGATTGACTACTGCTGTATTATTTGGGGTGAATGTAAAAATGAAGGGATAACAAGAATTTTAAAACTCCAAAAAAGGGCAGCAAGATTAATTCTAGATGCAGATCCTTTATCCCCCTCAGCCCCCTTATTTAAAAAACTTGGGTGGATGACAGTTGACAATAGAATAAAATACCACAAATATTTACTTCTATATAAATGTATGCGTATGGAAGCACCAATGTACCTAGTTCAAAAGTTTAAACTGAAATCAGATAATAATCCTTACTCCCTGAGAGGCGTCACTCAAGGTAATCTGATAGTTCCTAAGCCAAAAGCTGAGCTATTTAAGAAATCTTTTGTTTATTCTGGATCAGTGTTATGGAATGGACTACCACACAAAATGCGTAAAGCTCAAAACATTTATACTTTTAAACAAAGTATCAAGAAGTACTTAACACAGTCCTGATAAGATTATATTTTCTACAATGAATTTGTATTATATTCTTTTATTTTTATTTGTATTTGATTTTTTGACTACATGTACATCTTGAACAGCCTTATATCTTATCATGTTAGTAATATTACATTGAACTAATTGACTGTAAATTAACTATGTGTAAATATCTGTTTTTGATTGTATTGTAATTTGTATGTGAGGGCCTCAGGGAAGATTAGTTTATTGTAACTAACTGAGATTACCCTCTTTAAAAAAAGAATTTATTATTATTATTATTATTATTATTATATGTATATAATATAACAGGTTATTATTAAAGGCTATAAAGCAAGTTTTATTGTCGAGCCTGCGACTTCTGTCCAGAAAGCTCGACATAAGGATAGTGATCCGGCGCCGGCGCCAGCTGCATTAGCAAACTACTTAAAAGCATTATATTTTAGAAGGTGGAAAACCTGGATGCTTCATACTTTGTATATAGATGCCTTATGTTATGAAGTTTTCGTCTGTAATATGCCTTTGTCCTTGACCTCATTTTCATGGTTCAGTGACTACTTGAAAAAAAAGTTAAGATTTTTTGTAATGTTAATTTCTCTCTTATTATGAGTAATAGGATAACTATATATGGTATGTGCATAATATACCTTGCACAGTCCCCATGCCTGTCAGACAGTTTTCACTTGACCTTGACATCATATCATGGATCAGTGAACAAGGTTAAGTTTTCGTGGTCAAGTCCATATCTCAGATTCTTTAAACAATAGGTCTACTATATTTGGTGTATGGCATGATTGTAAGGTGTACATGTCCAAATGCCAGGTGTCATCTGACCTATGTTCAGTGGTTAAAGATGAATTTTTGTGTTTTGGTCTATTTTTCTAATACTGTATGCAATAGGGCAGCTATATTTGGTGTATGGAAATATTTTGTGATGTACATGTCAGTCTGGCAGGTTCTATTTGACTTGACCTCATTTTCACGGTTAATTGCTCAATGTTAAGTTTTTGTGTTTTGGTCTTACCTCTATTGTTCTTAAACTATAAGCAATAGGTCAACTTATAATGTTGAATGTATGGAATGGTTGAAATGTTTATATGTCTGTCTGGCAGGTATCATCTGACCTTGAAACAAGAAACCCTGCTGCATTTTTGCGTCTGTCCCAAGTCAGAAGCCTCTGGCCTTTGTTAGTCTTGTATGATTTTTAATTTTACCGTGGTAGTTCAATTATATGTTTTGGAGTTTAGTATGACGTCCATTTTCACTGAACTAGTACACATTTTTGTTTAGGGGCCAGCTGAAGCCCGCCTCCAGGTGCAGGATTTTCCCACTGTGTTGAAGACCCATTGGTGGCATTCGGCTGTTTTCTGCTCTTTGGTCGGGTTGTTGTCTCTTTGACACATTCCCCATTTCCATTCTCAATTTTATTCTCTTTTTTCATGGTTCATTGGTCAATGATAAATTTTCTTGGTTAAGTTTGTTTCCAGGATACTATATCTGATACATCAACTATATTTGATCCATGGAATGATTTGTAAAGAGTACAGGTCTATCTGGCAGGACTCATCTGACCTTGTTCTCATTTTCATGGTTCATTGGTCAATATAAAGTTTTCATGGTTTGGTTGAAAGTAAAATAACAAAAATGAGCCATTTAATACCACCCATCTAACACATGATGAATGGTTGAAGCCGAAGTTATTCTGCAAAAATTAGGTCAACAAAATTCTTATGAGTTTTCTCTTTATATAGTAACACTATATAAATCCTTGGTTTAACATGTTATGATCTGCTGACAGTGCGCGCGCGAGCTCTTTGGAAGGCAATGTGGTTCTCTCCAGGCACTCTGGCTTCCTCCACCAATTAAAACTGACCGCCACAAAATAGCAGAATAGTGTTGAAAGTGGCGTAAAATACCAATCAATCAATCAATCTGCTGTACATTATCTTATTACTAAGAGTATAAACTCCATATTATGGAGGTGTTCCTACGTACTAGAGGCTAATACTTAGAAGAAGCTTCTTAACATTTTATTATCCGTTTCCCTCCCCTTCGTTGTATTCCCCTGTTTTGTTTATGATGGAAAAAAGAAAATTATCATCATCAGAAGAGTCTCAATACGATCGCAAGCTGTCATCTTCAGAAAGCAAACGACTAAAATCATCGGACTTCAGAACAGAAGAATTGACGGACATTGGGCTATTTTTCGCGGACAATCCGATTACTGTGTTAGAGCTAAAAAAAAAGCTTAAACTTGCACTGGAAATATTTCCACTAAATGACAGAAGAAGCCGTAGGAATCTGAGAAGAAACACTGTAGAGATACCCACGTGTATTGAGTCACTGTGCAAGTTTACAAAAGAGCATGTTAATTTTAACCTGGAGAATGTTGACTGGAATAAGAAAGTGTCATTAGCACCAAAATTTCGAAATGAACTTTTAGAATTTGAAAAAGAAGCAATCATAGACCTCCAGGAGGCAAAAATACTTCTTATGGAATTTTCAGAAGAATTTCTGAATGGTGAGACAAATGAGTCTGGTTTGATGACTGACAAACTTGGCAAAAGGTAGGGAACCACGATTTCCCGAGGACTCTCAAGAACTAATTATAGTTGTTGGGCTGCCCGTTCCATGTTCATATTTGTACATGTACTTGCTCCCAAGATTCAAATTTTGTGAAGACGATGCACCTAAAACGTTACAAAAAACCAATACTTTGTTAAGCCTCAATACATTGAGTCTGAAATTTCTAGATTACTCGTGTAAAATTATTTCCCTTGAATGAATCATTACTTTAATCTGTTTCAGTTGATCCTGGATATCCATCTTTTTTTTCAAGAATACATGTACATGTATGAACTTAAACTTGTACTTTTAACTGTTTAATTTTGGTACCCCGATTTCCCCCAAAACACCCCAAAACCCAATAAGTCAACCTGAGAACCAATGGATATTACCTGGGCTAAAAATTGATTGTATTTTATATAGTACATTACTGCTTTTATAGATCGCATTAAAGATGTTGGATATTGCAATATCACCTTTGAAAGCATTCATTGTACATGTATAGTTTGTTATTTACTTTTTTGCAGAATGTTTTTGGATTGGTCCACGAATACATCCAGATTTCTTTCGGAGATACAGAAAGTACTTCAAAAGTTAGGTTTACCATTGGAAGTACCACCTGAACCGATTAGAGATAAAATTGAAGATGTTATTTTAAGGGAAAGTGTTTTCACAAGTTTGTTCATGAAGTTTACAGAAATCTTTTTTCTTCAGCCAGAGTAGGTAACATGTAGTCCTGAAAGATCCAAAGCAGTTATTGCCACCACTTGGCATCTGTTGTCCGTGCGTCTAAAACTTCTAAGCTCACCTCAGACACCTGCCATTAAGTTGCCATCACTTGGTGTTCTACAAAAACGTGCATCTTTGTTATATTTTTAGAGCACTACCTGGAGTAATGGTGAAATGACACCCATCATCATAGGTCAATGTAAAGTTTTGCAAATATCTTCTCTGAATCAACTAGGCCAATTACGAGAAACTTGGCCTCAATCACCCTTGAGGTTTCTAATTTTAAAAAAAATATCAATCATGCCTGCAACTTTCAAAACATGACCTCCATGACTGAAATAGAACATTGGGGTCAATACATTTTCAGGTCATTTGGCCAAAAAGGCCATGCATGCTACTGCCATTACTTAGCATCCATCATGGGCCTCTGTTTGTCCGTCTTTTTCAACTTTAAAAAAAATCAAAATCTTCTCCTGTAGTGGGCCAGATGTTACAAAATACATGAATGTTCTTTATGTAATCTTGTTTAAAAATTTTATCTGAAGATTTGATCCATTAACAAACTTGCTTAAAACAAATTATCAATAAAATGTGCCTGCAATATAAAAAAAAAAATATCAATTATGCTTGCAACATAAAAAAAAAACAACATGGCAACCATGGCTGAAATAGAACATTGGGATCAATAAGTGTATGATAGTAGTGAGGCATTATTTTTCCAGTCTGTGTCTCAGTTCATTCCTTCATCCGTCCCATATCAGGTTAAATTTTTGGTCAAGGTAGTATGTGATGAAATTGAAGACACATCAACTTGAAACATGATTACTCAACATGTTCCTTATAATGTGATTTTTGTCGAGCCAGCGACTTTTGTCGCAGAAAGCTCGACATAGGGAAAGTGATCCGGCAGCGGCGGCGGCGTCGTTAGCTAACTTCTTAAAAGCTTTATATTTTAGAAGCTAGAAGACCTGGATGCTTCATACTTTGTATATAGATGCCTTATGTTACGAAGTTTCCGTCTGTCATATGTCCATTGTCCTTGACCTCATTTTCATGGTTCAGTGACTACTTGAAAAAAAGTCAACATTTTTTGTAATATAAATTTCTTTCTTATTATCAGTAATAGGATAACTATATTTAGTATGTGCATACCTTGCAAGGTCCTCATGCCCGTCAGACAATTTTCATTTGACCTCGACCTCATTTCATGGATCAGTGAACAAGGTTAAGTTTTCGTGGTCAAGTCCATATATCAGATACTATAAGCAGTAGGTCTACTATATTTGGTATATGGAATGATTGTAAGGTGTACATGTCCAACTGGTAGGTGGCATCTGACCTTGACCTCATTTTCATGGTTCAGTGGTCAAAGTTAAGTTTTTGAGTTTTGGTCTTTTTTTCTAATACTATATGCAATAGGTCAACTATATTTGGTGTATGGAAATATTTTATGATGTACATGCCAGTTTCACAGGTTTTATTTGACCTTGACCGCATTTTCATGGTTCATTTCTCAGTGTTAAGTTTTTGTTGAGCCTGCGACTTTTGTCGCAGAAAGCTCGACATAGGGATAGTGATCCGGCGGCGGCGTTAGCTAACTTCTTAAAAGCTTTATATTTTAGAAGGTGGAAGACCTGGATGCTTCATACTTTGTATATGGATGCCTCATGTTACGGAGTTTCCGTCAGTCACATGTCCAATGTCCTTGACCTCATTTTCATGGTTCAGTGACTACTTGAAAAAAAAGTTAACATTTTTTGTAATGTTAAATTCTCTCTTATTATAAGTAATAGGATAACTATATTTGGTATGTGCGTACCTTGCAAGATCCTTATGCCCGTCAGATAGTTTTCACTTGACCTCGACCTCATTTCATGGATCAGTGAACAAGGTTAAGTTTTGGTGGTCAAGTCCATATCTCAGATACTATAAGCAGTAGGTCAAGTATATTCGGTGTATGGAAGGACTGTAAGGTGTACATGTCCAACTGGCAGGTGTCATCTGACCTTGACCTCGTTTTCATGGTTCAGTGGTTATAGTTAAGTTTTTGTGTTTTGGTCTGTTTTTCTTATACTGTATGCAATAAGTCTACTATCTTTGGTGTATGGAAATATTTTAAGATGTACATGTCAGTCTGGCAGGTTTTATTTGACCTTGACCTCATTTTCACGGTTCATTGCTCAATCTTAAATTTTTGTGTTTTGGTCTGTTTTTCTAATACTGTAGCAATAGGTCAACTATATTTGGTGTATGGAAATATATTATGATGTACATGTCAGTCTTGCAGATTTTATTTGACCGTGACCTCATTTTCACGATTCATTGCTCAATGTTAAGTTTTGTGTTTTGGTCTGTTTTTCTAATACTGTATGCAATAGGTCAGCTATATTTGGTGTAAGGAAATATTTTACGATGTACATGTCAGTCTGGCAGGTTTTGTTTGACCTTGACCTCATTTTCATGGTTCTTTTCTTAATGCTAAGTTTTTGTGTTTTGGTCTGTTTTTCTTAAACTTTAAGCAATATATAGGTCAACTATATTTGGTGTACGGTTGTTAGGTGTATATGTCTGTTTGGCAGGTATCATCTGACCTTCACCTCATTTTCATTGTTCATTGGTCAGTGTTCAGTTTTCCTGGTTATCTTTGTTTCTTAGATACTATAAGCAATAGGTCAACTATATTTGATGCATGGAATGATTTTAAGGTGTACATGTCTGTCTGGCAGGGTTCATCTGACCTTGACCTCATTTTTATGGTTCATTGATTAATATAAAATTTCCATGGTTTGGTCTTTCTTTCATACTATCAGCAATGAGTCATCTATATTCGGTGTGTGGAATGATTGTATTAAAGGTGTACATGAGTTTCCGGCTTGGTTTATCTGACCTTGAATTCATTTTCTTGGATCGTAAATGTGATACTTGTTAAACTTTATATTTGGGACTATCAACATAAAATTAATGGTCAGTATAGTAGGCGAGACATTTCAGCATGTGCATTCTTGTTGTGTTTTGGTCTGTTTTTCTTCAACTATAAGCAATAGATCAACTATATTTGTTGTATGGAAGGATTGTAAGGTGTATATGTCTGTCTGGCAGGTATCATCTGACCTTGACCTCATTTTCATGGTTCATTGGTCAATGTTAAGTTTTCATGGTTAAGTTTGTTTCTTAGATACTATAAGCAATAGGTCAACTATATTTAATGCATAAATTGATTGTAAGGTGTACATGTCTGTCTGGCATGGTTCATCTGACCTTGACCTCATTTTCATGGTTCATTGGTCAATGTTAAGTTTTCTTGGTTAAGACTGTTTCTTAGAAACTATAAGCAATAGGTCAACTATGTTTGGTTTATTGAATGATTGTAAGGTGTACATGTATTTCTTGTTTGGTTTATCTGACCTTGACCTCATTTTCTTGGATCATGTTAAGTTTATGTGTTACTTGTAGTAAAGCTTTATATTTAGGACTATCAACATAAAATCAATGGTTTGTAAAGAAGGCGAGACATTTCAGCATGTGCACTCTTGTTTAAATTTATAAGCCAAATTATAATTTTAATTAAAATTTCACGGGTCACTAAGTATATATAGATAGAATGGTGATAGTATGCAACTATTATTTTCTCAAGTTTAAAGTTTGGTCAAGGTAGTTCATGATGAAGTTGTAGTCACATCAACTTGAGATTTAGTACACATGTTCATTATGATGTGAACTTATAAGATTTTATGCCAAATTACAATTTGACATCAATATCACTATACACTGAAAATGGAATATTGATAGTGCCAGCGTGTCATGGTGTCCTGTGGACACATGTTCTTGTTTATGATTAATTTGGTTGTGCTAATCAATGTTTATTTACCTAAATAAAAATAAGGAGATGTTGTATGATTGCCAATGAGACAACTATCAACTAGAGTTCAAATAAAGTAGATACAAGAAATTAAAGGCCATTGTGAGGCCTTCAACAATGATAAAAACCCATACTGTATGGTAGGCTATTAAAGGCCCCTATATGAAAAATTTAAAACAATTCAAACAGAAACAAACATTTTCACTGAACTAGTATAATAAGTATATACATATTTTTGGTTAGGGGCCAGCTGAAGCCTGCCTCGGGTTGCAGGATTTTCTAGGTGTGTTGAAGATGCATTTGTGGCCTTGGGCTGTTTTATGCTCTTTGGTCGGATTGTTTTCTTTTTGACACATTCCCCATTTCCATTCTCAATTTTATTTTATAGTTTATAACAAAACAATTTACAAAAACAAATATGATAGACATAAACCAACAATGACAGCTGAACTAATGTCACCTGACTTGGGACAGGCACATAAAGAATGTGGTGGGGTAAAACATGTTTTTGAGTACTCAACCCTCCCCTAACCTTAGACAGTGGTGTAACAGCACGACATTAATCTGAAGCTGATTCTGTATTGTGTGCATCTATCAAGCAGTCATTCCATTCCATATTCTTTATTTTAGCTTTGGAGAAAACCGAAAGATTTCAATAAAGATAAGAAATAAGTATGTTGGATGTATTCCTGATGTAAGATTTAATCAACGTGTACAGAAATCTGAAGGCAGATCCTGTTTATTGCTTATGCTGGCAGAGGTGAGTAGAAGATTGCATAAACCACAGAAAATAATTTTCAATGTATACTTTAAACAGTGGTTCTATCAGTTGACATCTTGTAGGTGTAAATCCCTTAGTCAATCCTGAGATGGATTTGGCTATTATTTTTAGGTCCTTTTGGGGCATATAGCTCCTGATGTTTTAAGGTATTTGTACATCCTTGGGTTTTGGTACCTAATGAAGGTAAATCTAGAAAACACTTTAAATTTGGACACACAGAACTTATAAAGTGTATTTTTTGTCTTTTTAAGCATTTTGTCAAATTTATTTGGTGAATGGAATGATTACTAGAAAATAAATTACACAGTTCTACTACAACACTGGAAATAAGTTTATTGTAAAGGAAAAAAGCATGTATTGTACAATTGTCACAGCTCAAATTTGAAAAAAATGGACAATTCATGAAGTACACATCTACAGTTTAAATGATATTTTATTTTTTCTATTGAATTTTTTTATTTGCGCCTTTCTGAAGAATGTAAACTAGAAAAGCCCATGCAGACACACCGAATTCAATAATAATAATAATAATAATTTAAATGTTATTTTCGTTTATCATTGTGGACTAACAGTTGATAAAAAAAAAATGTGTTCCTTGCTGCATATCAATGGCACTTGTGCAACATCTTTAAAAGTTGAATCTTCAATTTTAATTTGGAATTTTTTGCAATTATTTCCTGGTGAGTGATTCATGCTCCTCGGAGCCTCTAGTTATTATTTGTATCCAACAAATAACTTTCACAAAAATGTTTTATGTTATAAGGTGAAAAAAGATGCATTAAAGCTGGCAGATGATGATGATGACTCCAAAACCCCCTGGATAGAAAAACATTTAAAAAAACAGGTACTTGGACAGATTGGATCACAGCTATTATTAGAATGTTGGCACTCTGTGTTTGTTCCAAAGAGTCTAGGGATTGTTTGCATGGGGACTGAGGTAAGATAACATATTCTAAGCTGGGTTGCACAAAGTTCAATGCCTGCTAATAGTATGGCGATGTTGGGCTGGTGAATGGGCTGTCATGTAAAAATGGGTCCCTTTTTTGTGTAATCAGCCCTACACATTTTAATGAAAATAGCTGAAACTTCACAGGAAGATTGGGCTTATATTGAAGTTGTGCACCTGCTTTAATGGTTTGTTTTACGTTGTTTTACCTATTTTTCCAGACTTGGGAGCTTAGGCAATTAGTCAATTTTCAACAAAATTTTCAAAAAGTGATTTTTCCATCCAGATCTTTGAAACTCTTCAGAAATTTTGCAAACCAGTTTAGGTCGTGCATCTTCTATGAACACTTGATTAGCAAGGTTAATAGTACATATTGATAATATACAACAAACAAAAGGTTAATAGTACATATTGATAATATACAACAAACAAATTTTTAACTGGGTTTTCCATCATCTTATGATAAACTGGCTACGTAAAGTTTTCATGGTTAGGTCTGTTTTTCAGATACTATAATAAATAAATGTATTTCTTGGTTAACTACATTTAGTGTATGGGTTGATATTATGGTGTACATGTTTGGCAAGTTCTTCTAGATCTGACTTTGACCTCATTTTCATGATTCATTGGTCAATGTTATGTTTTCAGGGTAGGTCTGTGTCTCAGATACTATAAGCAATAAATGAACTATATTTAATGTATGAATGATATTATTGTGTACATGTCTAACTGGCAAATTCATTTGATCTTGGCTTCATTTTCATGGTTCATTGGTCAATGTTAAGTCTTTGCATAAACTATAGAGAGAAACTTTAAACAAAAGCATCAAAGAAAGACCTACCAATAAGTTAACATGACCTTGAAAGATGATTTTACAGATTTTTTTTTTAAATAGCTCACCTGGCCTTGTGAGGTTTTGCCATTACTGGTCTTTCGTTGTCTTTAATAGTCTGTCTGTCATACTCTTTATCAAAAATCTTCTCTGAAACCAAACTAATTTCAACTAACCTTGGAGTGAATGATCCCACTGGACATTATGCAACCAACAATCAATGATCCATATATGGTACATGTATCTTGTATAAAGTTTGATCCCTTATAAGGTTATTGCCCATAAAGATGATTTTTTTTTCCCAATATTTGTTTTTTTTTTTTTTTTTTTTTTAGAAAAAATGATACATAGAAAGAAACTTTGAAGAGCATAATAGAAACATATTAATTTATATTAAACAGCAAAAATATTCATCTACACAAAAATTCCTGTTGAGCGATTTAGGTTCTTAGAAGCCTCTTGTTTATGATACGATACATGTATAATGATTAGATACAGATAAGGTTTATGTATATATATATATATATAAAATTAAGAAGATGTGGTATTATTGTCAATGAGACAACTCTCCACAAGAGACCAAAATGACACAGAAATTAAGAACTATAGGTCACTGTACTGCCTTCAACAATGAGCAAAGCCCATACCACGTAGCTATAAAAGGCCCTGAAATGACAAATGTAAAACAATTTAAACAAGAAAAATAACAGCCTAATTTATGTAAAAATAATATCGAAAAAACAAATATGTTACACTGCAACAAACGATAACCACTGAATTACAGGCTCCTGACTTGGGACAGTCACATGCAGAATGTGGCGGGGTTAAAGTAGTTTGTTGGCGCCAAAGTTCAGTTGAAGCAATTTAGGACAAATTTGCATCAATGTTGTTGTTCCCCCCTTGTTTTTATCATTTTAGATAATTTTTCTGTACATGGACACAGATTTTAACCATTATGAAGCTTTGATGGCAAACAACATCACTGACAGCCATAGATCAACAATTCATTACACAAAATCGTTTGATATCATGAAAATGGAGGACAGAAATGAGTTAGTTGATTTTTTATTCTGGTTGGGATGTTTACAGATACAAGATTTTAATGAATACTTTTGTTGTTAAGGTTATCAGTATTGATAGAAATATGTTCCTGGCCAATCCTGGCAATAGTGTAGTGTTGCAGCAGGCAAATATTGGCAATAGTGATACAGCTGGCCAATTATGACAATAGTGTTGCAGTATGGTGAGGAAAATGCAGTCATGTTTATATTAACCTTGATGTATGATACATTTTTGTAAAAATATATAAATGGTATAGGCCTGAGTAACACCAGCATATTCCTCTTATTCAATAACACCAGGAATAGAGCTTTGTATATTGGAAGACCCATAATATACAGTTTAGCAGTCTACCACCACTTAGCACTTGATAATATTAAGATTGTACATGGAGGTTTTTCATCAATTCATATTTTTGTAATCATTAAATTTAATATTAAAAAAAAATTTCTGACACCTTTATATATATATATATTTCACATGTCTTTGGACCCACATAGTACCCCTTTGTACCAGTGACCCCAATATTAAAAGTGTTTCTTCTTGTGTGTAGCCTTTATGGCGTTCAGGCTAAAAGGGACCTATGTGGGAAAAGCACAAAGCAATCGTATATTTTGGAAACTTTATGACCTAAACCTTGACATGGAACAATTGAATTCCAAAGGGATGAAATCCTAAATTTAGGTGATTTTCCCTGATGTCTTTAAAACAATAATAACTTCGAACAGAGCCTAGTGGGTCAGACAACAACCCAACAAAAAAATAACCAAACCGCATCTATGACCAAACAAAGTCTTTTTATGCCTTATCTGTGATATTTCTATCATATATACATCACCATAAAATATGTTTCAAAGAGATATTAAAACAATATTTTCTATTGTGTAACTTGAAAGTTTGAAGTACAAAGATTACATGCAAAAAGGCAGTTACGACCATTGGTGGTATTGTTGTTATAGGTTTGAGGTCATTTGGTTGAAAGGAAATGCTGATGCTGATGCATCAGGAATTAAACTACACGAATATGCTACAATTTCATAGTTCAGCTGTCACAGTCACAGTTAGTAAACCTATATGTTAATGCCAAAAATGTCTGGTCTTGGATGCTCCTTTATGTTCTGCCGCTGTTTTTTGTTGTCTCTGAAAAATTTGTTAAACTGAAATTCAGAGATTTTTGTGATGTTGTTATGATTGCAAAAAATGTGACAGAATAGGTTTTGAAAATGAAAATTCATTTTAGATATTGATAGCATTATTTGTATGAAGCATTTACTGAAAAGAAAATAATCAATCTCACATTTTTGTACAGTTTTCAGTAATTACAATAATAAATGCACACTAAGTTATTTGAATTTATAGTATCCATGCCTGTTTTCAGTGTTGCAGGCTTTTTCATGTGTGGTATACTAGGCCTCAGACCACAATTATTCTTCCCATTGGTTACAATGCATTTCTTTGTAAAAGTCAAATTGAATTGAAAAAATTTGCACCGGTTCAAACATGAAATAAATTTAACTGCTCACAGACCATTATTCTTCTAATAAAATATGCTTGTCCCAGGACAATCAATCAGTGCTTTTTCTTTTGAGAGCCCTATGAACATGCCAATGGTAGAATTAGAATCTTGAATAAATGCCGACGACTAATTTCTACCTTACTTTCATTTTGGCCAAATCACTACTTTCACTTTCAACAGTAAATTTTTTAGAACATGTTTTACTTATTTCAATATATATGCAACTGATAGGACCACTTAAATAGTAAACTTTTCAAAGAAAACAGTAGTCAGAATAGTTTGGAAGAAATATCCCATATAATCCTTGTAACGATATTCCTAGACCACGAACAAAGGCAATTAATTGTCGTCTGAAGCCACTAGTCTTCATCTCATCTTTTTATGCCCCCCGCCGTAGCGGAGGGGGCATTAATGTTTACCCTTGTCCGTACGTCCGAAAGTTGGTTTCCATTCTCTAACTTTAGTTTGCCTCAACCAAATGTTATGAAACTTATACACAATGCTTATTACCACAAAACACAGATCAAGTTTGAATTTTGATGGCGTCACTTTAACCGTTCTAGAATTAGCCCCTTTACAAATGGAAAAATTGCTGAATTTTTCGTTTTCCGTTCTCTAAATTTAGTTTGCCTCAACCAAATGTAATGAAACTTATACACAATTCTTATTACCACAAAATACAGATCAAGTTTGAATTTTGGTGGTGTCACTTTAACAGTTCTAGAGTTATGCCCGTTTACAAATTGAAAAATTGCTGAATTTTTCGTTTCTGTTCTCTTAACTTAAGTTAGCCTCAACCAAATGTTATGAAACTTATACACAATGCTTATTATCACAAAACTGAGATCAAGTACAAATTTGGGTAATGTTACTTTTACCGTTCTTCAGTTATGTCCCTTTATAGTTTTAAATGATATGCAATCATCTGTGTCCCATGGACACATTCCCCATTTATTTTAGTTGTCTCCCCCTTGTAATGTTCACTGAATTTCAGACTGAGACATACTCTGAATTCATTACTATTTGTGGGATACCAATTTTCATTGATTTCTTAGGTATAGCTGAACGACAAATGTTTGACACAGTACAAATTTTCTATAGGCTTTATATATGCTGACTTTGGCAAAACCAAGAAATCAAATATCCACAAAAATACAATTTTACCTCAATCCATGAAATAATGATAATGAATCCACAGTACTTGACTTTACTATGGCACAAGAAGGCTTCACCTAAAACTACAAGTTATGTAAAACACTTTATTGATTGTGTGGCAATTTCATTTTTATACATAAATGTATTTTTTTACACGAGTACAATTGCTATTCTCACAATACCATGAAAATGATGGATATATTTTATACATATAGACAATAAGACTAGAATGTAAATAATCTCAGACTAATATCTGTTGAGATATCTATGGTCCCATAGAGATTTATGTGTCTTGGTTAAGGTTGCTGACTATTGGTTGTTTCAAAATCTAATGCATTTTGGGTAATATTTTCAAAAGTATACACCAACAGATTGCAATTGGTTCACAAGGTCCTATAAACAATGCAAATTCAATTGATGACATGACATTGTTTTTTTATTTTAGGGTACGAACATTAAAACTATCCATAGTCCTTTAGATTTTTAAACAGCAAATTGAACAATAATCAGTTGTCACTTTTATTTTCAATTACTGTAAACCAGCTTATTTTCATGGATACTTTTTTTACATTATGTCCTTTCTAGCTGACTTTTTAAAAAATGAGATTTAACTGAGCTATTTCCTAATATGTTGATGTATTTATATAAGGGGATCTGGATGGGGTTTTCAAATAGAGAATAATTGGTAAAAGGTACAAAATAAAGGTCCCAAAAAAATAAAAAATAGAGAAAAATAGGGGAAAAAAATTAAGAATACACATAATGGGGGGATAAAATATGAAGAATAGAGAATTATGACCAAAAAATATAAAGAATAGAGAAAAATTACTTAAAAATTAAAAAATACAGAAATAAGTCCCCCCCCCCCCCCCCCCAACCCAGATCCTCCTACAAGAGAAGATCCAAGTTTGATATATTTGTTTAGATTTATATTTGTGTAATTTTTCTACTCACAAGAGAGGCCTAATAAATTGTTCGTTAAAAAATTTCTTATGAATGACAATAGGTAAGGATGCCTGCCCTACATTCCGAAATGATAAATTTATATGATTTGCTACCTGAATAGATATAGGAAGATGTGGTTTGAGTGCCAATGAGACAACTCTCCATCCAAGTTACAATTTATAAAAGTAAACCATTATAGGTCAAGGTACGGCCTTCAACACGGAGCATTGGCTCACACCGAACAGCAAGCTATAAAGGGCCCCAAAATATTACTAGTGTAAAACCATTCAAACGGAAAAACCAACGGTCTAATCTATATAAAAACGAGAAACGAGAAACACGTATGAACTACATAAACAGACGACAACTACTGTAATCAGATTCCTGACTTAGGACAGGTGCAAACATTTGCAGCGGGATTAAACGTTTTAATGGTACCAAACCTTCTCCCTTTTCTGAAGCAATAGTATAACATCACAACATAGAAAAACACACTATAAAATATCAATTGGAAGGCTTAACTTAATCAAAAAACGTAAATTAACACACAATGAACGAATAAATTTGACCTGTGACACCTGAATGCAAATACACAGTCAGTTAATAAAAAATTACAAGGGATAAATAATTAAAGGCAAAAGTAAATAAACAGGTTTAAACAAAGTTAAATTATGATATTACTGTGAAATTTCAAACAATTTATAGAAAATCATCACTTTTGAAGAAACCTGCGTCTTATTATATAGTCCGTTTGACTTCCATAAATCTTCAGAAAATAATTCTTAAAAATTCATTTTTCCAAATAAACATTTTTTTTCTTGATGTATGTTAATGTATGATATATACGAACTCTGACTATGAATATCATAATTTTGGGCCAATAATAAAAAAAGTTACCCATTAGGTCTCTATGTTACTTCTCTATGGAGATTATTTGGCCTGGCCCCCTCAGTCATGGTCTATTGACTTAAAAACTTTTGCTTAGTTTACATGTATTAGTTTGTGATTATGTCAGTTTATATGGAACGACTAGTGGTAGGTCAATGATATCTGATATGCAGTTTTATTAGCATTGGCACATCTCATTTCCATGAGATTATTTGGCCCTGTACCTTCAGTCATGGTTCATTGACTTTGAATATTTTGTATAACTTATATGTTTAAGTATTGCTATTTCAATTTCAACAGTTGCATTTTACAATCAAAATAACAAAAAGGTGAGACATATCTCTACATTTACAGTTTATTGTACTTAAGACATACATAACAAATAACATTCTTCACATTTTAATACATACATGTTATGTATCTAATATAATTAAGTAGTCTCTGGAATGAAATTTTCTTATTTTATAACAAGAACTAATAAATATTGACACTGAAGTATTAACATTTTCTGATTCGCAAAACATTAAAAAAAAAAAAAGACTAAAAAAACCTAATTGTTCTCTGAAATATAAAAGCAAAACATGCTGCCTCAAGAATAAATTTGTTTCTTTCTCACATGCAGTGCATTCCACCAAAAAGAAAGGAAACTCATCTTCAACCTGCATATTACTACAGTACTTTTAAAATCTATTCTTTTAATTACTAGACACATCAAATGCTTTATTGTTAAATACTTTATTGGTTTTATAGTATGAAAAAAAAATATTATAGAAATTAAATATCTGATTAAATACCTTGCTAACTGGGATAATTATTGATCACCCACCATTTTCTTTAGTTCTAGTTGGATCTACCTGTATTTGAGAAACAGACCAAATCATGAAAACTTAACATTGACCAATGATCCATGAAGATAAGGTCAAGATAAGATGATACGTTCCTAACAGACATTTAAAATTTACAATTATGATATATTCCATACAGCAAATATAGTTGACATTTGCCTATCATATCTGAGAAACCGACCAAAACACAAAAATTAACATTGACTAATGAACCAAGAAAATGAGGTCAAGGTCAGATGAAACCTGCCAGATGGACATGCACACCTTTCAATCATTGCATAAACCAAATATAGCTGATTGATTGTTTGGTGTATCTGAGAAACGGACCTTATCATGTAACTTTAACCTTGATCACTGATACAATAAATTAGGCCAAGGACAGGTGAACCCTGTCTGACAAACATGTAGACATGTAAGGATTCTATATACCAAATATTATTATCCTATTCAATAATAAGAGAGAAATTCACATGACAAATAAACTATAAGGGTTTTTTAAGCAATAGCTGAACCATGAAAACATAACTCATCTATAAACAAGGTATGATCCTTCTACCTTCTAAAATACAAAACTTTATATGAATAGCTTATACCCTTGTCACCATCAGATTTGCATTCCTATGTCTCACATTCTGCAGCTTTCATTACAGGTTAGACAAAAAAAAAACCCAAAAAAACCACAAAAAATAAATATCTGTTTAAATACCTTGCTTTCTAGGATAACTATTGGCCACTCATTTTTATAGTAGAATTAGAAAAGTTTCTGATGTAATTGTTTGATACAAGTTCAAAAGGACATCTGTATTAGCAGACAATGATATCTTACAAGCAAGTGGCAAAAAAATACAAATACCCACACTGATCTCCCAACAATATGGACCAGATCATTTTCTGATAATAATAAAAAAAAATTGCGGGAGAGAGAGCATGAGATATGTTTAAATGAGAAAATACTTTTTTTCAACATATTCTATTTCAGAACTGTATAAAGCTGCCCTCAGTTAAAAACTATTTTATTTAAATGCAGTAAAATGCAGTAAAAATAACATCAAACATGAACAAAATAGATATATGTATATAAATATGTTGAGAAAAATCACAACCAAAACAAACTTATGAAATAGTACAGAAAATCACCCTTTTCAAAAAAAATAAAATATATAAATTGGACTTTTGAGTATTTAATGTTGTTATGAAGGAAAAATCACCAAGTTTTGCCTGCTTCCATCATTCAGTGAAATAAATAATGCAAACTGAAAATACTACAAAACATTTCTATCAAAAACGTATTGACTAACCAGTGGTATTGCAAGAGGTCACCTCTGTTCTATTTGTTATAACAGCTGCTGATAAAAGTTGGATTCACCTGACCAGTTTCCAAAAAACTTTTAAGAGAATTTAACATGTTAACAGATACATAGTGTTACACCTGAAATATTTGAATTTGTACTTTTGTACATTTCTGTGAAGCTTGCTTTTTTGTTTGGTGAATAATGGACTAACACATCTTTGCTAGCCATAATTTATGATCTTGTCCCCGTCTCTTCACCCTTGGCAGATTAAGTCACAATTTCGGATCCACGAGATATTGATTTTCATGGGTCGCAGTTGTAACTGGTTGCATCCAATCATAAAGTGACTGTAACATGATCATGTGTAAATGTAGAAGATGTAATCAATTGTGTCACAAGTCTTCACTACAAAAAACATAGATGACATTTAGAGACAATTTTAAAGTTTTTAATAAACTGAAGTTCTTTGGTATGTTCCTCTTGGAAAGTCAATGTATATATTCCATTTCTGCTTCACAAGATTTTAAAACACTGGATACAGCCATTTTTACACCTCCAAAATAAAAGATCTTACAAGTGATGTCATTGGTCAAGAATGATATAGTCGGAGTGGTCATGACCTCTGTCTGTAGCTAGATGGCATAAAGCTGTATAAACAAATTCTGTCTTAATCTGCCAATGGTGAAGAGGAAGGGGTAGGATCGTAACCCTTGACTAGGAAAGATGGAACTAATCAAAATAGATTTTTAAGTCATCCTAAGGATTTGTCTGAAATGTAGTACATTTAATAACTTTTGGTACTCTTTCACAAAGAAGAATAGTTTCATAGTCAGCCTAAAAAAGAGGCAAACTGAACATTATTGAGCTCTCTACACACTCAAGTATATATGCTATAAATGTAAATAGTAAAGCTAAAAACAAGAGATCAACAAATAGCAGCTGTGATGATGCAACAATAACAGTTCATAAAATATCAATCTGCATAGGATAAAACCATTTCGGCTGAAGTTTACTTTGCTTTCTTCTTTTTAGCTTCGGATGGACCATCTAGAAAATAAAATAAATAACAATAAAATATATACAACAAGCAATTAAATAAAACACAATTTTGATTTATGTTTGATTAACTTTATTATGGCTTATTACCTTATTGGGGTTAACCAGATTGTATGGCAAGCTGTTTTACTATTTATTCTAACTTCAATTTATCTCATATAATATATAAGATATCTTATTTAATATATAAGATATCTCATATAATATATAAGATATCTTATATAATATAGTTTTTATAAGATATCTCATATACTTTATAAGATATCTTATATACATTATAAGACATCTCATATAGTTCATATATCTTATATAGTTTATAAGATATCTCATATAGTTTATAAGATATCTCATATAGTTTATAAGATATCTCATATAATTTAAAAGATATCTTATAAAGAAAATTATATTAGATATTTTATAAACTATATGAGATATCTTATAAAATTTATTAGATATCTTGAAGTTAGAATAATAGTAAAACGGCTTGCCATAAGATTGTCTTTTTCAAGATATGGCATGTACTTGTTGCAAATAATTCAGCTGAAAATGAGCTTAAAACCTGTACACATATATCCTTTGCTGAACTAGCTAAACGTTGTAATTATTTTATCTGGCTAGACCTGAATGGTTTAAGATTAGCATATCTATTTTTAAAAAATAGACTTGTGTGTCCATAGGACACCATGCCTTGCTTGCACTACATTTATGTGGGTCAAAATCCTAATTTGGCATTTAATTTAAAATATCACATCATAATGAACTTAACTACCTTGACCAATACTTATCCTTTTTAGGGATGGTCAAAAATGAACAGATGGACCAGAAAACATGAAAACCCCCACTATGGTTGATGGGCCATAAGAATATTAACTTCAACACATCAATTATCTGGTACAACAGAATAGTCAAAACTTTTACTGAAATCACAAACTGGTAATGCAGTAATCAAAAGCTAGCAAAAGATCCATAGAGAAGTTAAAATTTTATTCAAAGGTCTGTCACTGTCACAGCTAACATCATTTAATGTATTATTTAAGGAAATAGGATCCCTTTTAAAATGTACAACTAAGCCTGTATTTTATATGTGTAAGAAAAGCACATTGCTTTAAAGTAAAAGATCTTTAAAATAAACAGAGAATACAATGTCAAGTGGTGGCAATCAATCATAAACACTTTAGGCCAGTTGAGCTATATTTTCTCAAGTATAAATGACATAAAACAAATTGTTGAAAAACATACTGGTATCATTTTCAGCTATCGTAAAATGTTTTTTCAATGGCTGCCAGCATTCATAATATTTCTCGTCTACTTTGGTCTTATTTGCCCACTCAGTCACAGCCATACTTAATGATGACTCAAACATGAAAGCCTGAAAAATAAAGGAATATAATTCTTCTATAGCTATTAATTTTACAAATTTAAAATCTGTCTGAAAAATAGCCTTGAAGTCAATATTGATAAATTTTTGTACTATGTGAATTAAAACCTGTCTAAACCGAACTGTTTTTATAAAAAATATTTTGCTGCATAAGAGAAGTGTTTATTTTACACATCTTATATTGTTTTTAAACAATATTTTGCTGGATTAGAGAAGTGTCCATTTCACACATCTTAAACTGTTTTTAAACAATATTTTGCTGGAGTAAAGAAGTGTTCATTTTACACATCTTAAACTACTGAGGAATATTCATCTGTCATCCTAATATAACAGTTTAGTTTCGATTGGTTTCTTATTTATGCAGGGTTTTGTTTTAATACCCTGGATTTTACTATTGACAGATATAATGATAAATAAACAAATCTGTTGCCAGAACTGCTAAAAATGCTATTCCTAGACCTACATGTAATATCAACATCAAAGATTGATCATCCAACTTGATGCCTTGACTGTTTTTAATGAAATCATTTTTATACACAGTAAAATTTCTCATTGTATTTCCATTTGCTTTCCTATCAAAACTAAAAAATCAACATATTTCAATTATACTCTCCACAAAGGGAGATAATCCACAAATAATAAAGACACCTTTGAGGAAGGAACGATAGTGTCAAATATTCAAGTCTGGATTTCTTTAGAGTATGAATGTCTGTTGAGCAATGAAGACCAAACTTTACATTGTTAAAACATTTGTTGTCAGATTGTGATCTCACTGACATTAGCCTAATACTTTTCACTTTATGAGTCATATAAAAAGGAAATAACATGACATTCTATGTTTTAATTATACCATAGTTCCATCTGCTACTCTTTGTGGTTTTAAGTCAGCATTGGAAGCACTCTCAAAACACTCGGCATCTGGACCATGAGGAGTCATCATACTGTGTAATGTAGCACCTCCAGGACTAAAACCTTCCTCCTAAATATACAATGAAGTTCTCATTTTAAAGTTTTGTCTCTCATGTATGCACAAATAATTCATTGCGTTTGTATTAATAAAAAGAAATGCACTTTTTGTCACATTGAAATTTGTTCATTGCCACTTTTAAAATATGGTAGCACTGCAAGCTGCTTATAAAGAAAACCTATATACAGTAGATTTGTTTATATAACTTACAGGCGTGTAACAAAATGAGACCTATAATGGATATAATTGCTGATGATGGGAGTTTTTAACGACCTTGACATGCTATACAGCCCTCGCACGGTCGGTAATATAATTGAAATCCCAGGTCCCAATGTGATCTAAACATGCTGACATTGCAGACATATGTAGCCAGATTGTTAGAACAAATCAGGCCTGTACAGTCAACATTTACAGACAGTATAAATGATTAAATTTTTTTTCCATGATAAATTTGTAAACGTTCATGGATTGTTAAGAAACTAAGGGAAATAACTCCTATTCAAATTATGTCACATTGAAAACTTATTAAAGGTTTTAAAATAACATGAAACAAAATAAAGTCACCAACAATAAAACTTTTCAAATTCTCTAAAAAGGATTATATACAATGGTATTGTCTTTTATTGTTGAAAAACTATTCAGGTAATAATTATAATTTTTCAACATTAAATGTTCTTTGTAAATAACATACCTTTGCTTCATATTTACCAAGTATAAGTCCCATAAACTCACTCATACAGTTTCCTGAAAGAAAATTATACCAAATCTACAAACAAGAATGTGTCCATAGTACACAGATGCCCCACTCGCACTATCATTTTCTATGTTCAGTGGACCATGAAATTGGGGTCAAAACTCAAATTTGGCATTAAAATTAGAAAGATCATATCATAGAGAACATGTGTACTAAGCTTCAAGTTGATTGGACTTCAACTTCATCAAAAACTACCTTGACCAAAAACTTTAACCTGAAGCAGGACAGACGGACGTACGAACGGATGCACAGACCGAAAAACATAATGCCCCTCTACTATTGTAGGTGGGGCATGAAAAGTGAACACTTTCAACTTCATTTTCATTGATAATAAATTTTTATTTTGATACTGAAACAGAATATGGTACTGGAGACTTTTACCAAATAATATTACTTTAGTGCCTTATCATATAGCCTGATGTATTGCCTATAAAGTTTATGAGCTTCTCTAAACTATATGATACTGTGTATAAATAAATATATTGCCTGCAATTTAAAAAGCTTCTCTACATGCAGATTATTACATCCAAGAAAAAGATAAAACTTTTAAAAACCTAAGATAAAACTGATTCTGTATACTGTAAATTATTGTGTGCATTACAGGAAAAGCTGCATACAAACATATGTGTCAGATTTAAGAATGTGAGTTCTTATTAATGTGATACTTATCCAGTTGCAAAATTCCTAATAATAAAATCCTCGCAATAATTTCTAAATTTATAGTATTAGGTGGGTTTTGTAAGGACAGTCTTGGGGTGTATTTTGGTTCATTCATTTGTAATTACATGAGCAACAGGATGGGTGCCACATGTGGAACAGAATCTGCTTACCCTTCCAGAGCACCCAGGGACCAACCCAGTTTTTGGTGTGGTTCATGTTTCTCAGTCTATAGTTTTCTATGTTGTGTTTTGCATATGGCTGTTTGTATCTTGATAGTTTTCCATTTTTTCCATACCATTGTCAGTTATTTATTAACTAATGAGTTTGGATATGACTCTGTATCTTTCACCTATTTTTGACAACCTATCTGCAGATTTAGAGCTTTATATTTTTGGTCCATTTCAGATTTAGTGCATGCCAGTCTTGGTTGTCTTTTTCTAATTATTCACTTGGGGAGATGTAGAGCTTGCCACACAATGTGGATGCTTGTCCTTCAATACAGACCACATAAATGGTGACCTGAAATTTCCATGTTTTGGGGTTGACTTGTGTTCTTGGGTTGCTGTCTCAAAGATATTCATGATTGTAGATAAGATGGGGCATAACACCTTTTATCAAAATTATAAAAGTCTTTTCAAAGGCATTTCTCAATACAACTGAAAATTGTTATGTTACTTACTGTGGTAATAGGGTGGTCTAAATGTGTTCTGTGCTACACTCCATCTTGGAGGAAAAATCACAAAGTCTGCTATAGCAGTCCCAGGTTTTAATGACTGGCATGTTAAAACTGTAAATACTGAAGGGTCCTGGAAAGAGTAATATTGTCTATCTATACATGTAATAACAAACATTTGTAAGTAACTAATTATTATTTCATTTATATTGAAAAGTAGAAGTGACTTCTATAGATCTTGGGTCTACTTGCAGTGAATTTTATTTTGCTGTGTGTTGAAGGCCTCACTGTGACTTTGAGATAACAACAGCAATAGAAGTGCTGTTCCTTTGCTTTTTATGTTTCTTGCTGTGCATAATACTGATTTTGTGTCATGGATGGATACCCCATATCTTTTCTTTCTATTAATTAAGGACAGAGACAAAAGACTTTCAAATTTGAACTGTGAGCTATTTCTCACTAATGGTTCCCCACTATAAATATTTAGTAAACAAGTAGTTGAAGTAGTGGATGTTAAAACACATTATACTGTATAGCATGCTCACATGAAAGTTGATTCCAAATTTAAGAAAGTCTTGATTTGTAGTTCCTGAGAAAAAGCTTCTCTTCATGCAGATTATTACATCCAAGAAAAAGATAAAACTTTTAAAAACCTAAGATAAAACTGATTCTGTATACTGTAAATCATTGCGTGACAAAATGTCATACATGGCTATTATGTGTATGAATAAATAAGTTTTGATGAACAGGAAATCTAAGTGGATGATCATTGAATCTAAAAATGCATCATACTGTATAGCATGCACACATTTAGCTGGTTACCAAAGTTCAGGAAGCTCTGATTTTTAGCTCTCGAGAAAAACACTTCCAAATTTTTATACATGGCCAACATGTGTAAGAATATATAAGTATTCCTCAGTAAAGTATGCTAACATGAGTGCAAACAAAATTTTATGGGATAGACAGATTGACAGAAGGAGGACACAGACATTAAGCAGTATACCGCTCCTTTCAGGGTCAGTCATACAATTAAGGATATAGACACAAAAGACATACAAAGAAAGGCTACAGACAAAAGAGAAATACTTCAGGATAGAGACCCAGAGTGTTTTACAACATCAATTTATTTCATGGTTTATTTAAAGAAAGTATCTTATCTCATGGTTTAACTATTATGACAATTTTTAAGGCAACATTGATCCATTTTTTTTCATAATTTTCTCAATTTCTTTACATATTTATATAAAGCAAGATCCAAGTTTGCCATATTCAAGGCATTTACATTAGCATTATTTTTCTGCTCTGGGAAGAATTTCAAAAATAAAATACTTGAGAAATGATTTACATTGTTTCACTCATTTAGTGAACAAAATTAAGTCAGAAATGTTCTATTTACTGTGAAAGTGAAAAAGAAACTCATGTATTATGGTTTATAAAACATTTTATCAAACAAGATACATTTGAAAACATTACCTGTCATACACTTGTATATTGTTTATATAAAAATAAGAAGATGAGGTATGATTGCCAATGAGACAACTCTTCATCAGAGACCAAATGACATAGAAGTTAACAACTAGGACCTTCAAACAATGAGTAAAACCCATACTGCATAGTAAGATATATACGACCATATGTTGACTTCTAGAAGTCTTCTGGTTTTTGTATTGATTGATTGTCATCTCATTCATGCATACCCCACATCTCCTTTTATTTATAGTCATATTTTTTTAACTTGTGACAAGGGAGATAATTTAGTATTTTTAAATGTCCTCAGTGTAATCATTGGCCAAGTTTTTACCTATAAACAGCCAATATGGGAGAGGTTAGACTTTGTTTTTCTTTATTCCTGTGGATTAAATTATTTTCATGGATACAATTTTAGAGGATTGAGGAAACATTGTAGTTTTATGGATATTTGGTTTTGTGGTTTTGCTAAAAAATGCATAGATTAGAAACATATAGTAAATTTGTAATTCATTAAACATTTAAATTCATGGCTTATTTATACCATCGAAATCCACACAAAATAGGTATTCCACGAATACTAACGAATCCACAGTGGTCAGAAGTATTTTGGAACAAGTGAGTCTGAATTGTCTCCCCTTCTCAACTTGGTCAAGAAAAGTAATTGTTTCTAAGGTAACTAAAACTTACCACATGGTCAAATGATACTGTATTCATAGTGCAGAAATTATCCAGATTATATTTATATGGTGCATAGTTTCCATGCCAAGCTACTACATCAAATGGGGAATGATCCTAAAACATCAGAACAAACCACATTAAAAAGTCTTCTATAACTGTGTTATTTTCTTCATGGAAATGTAAGGGCTGTTCCATAAAAACATACATGGGACCCAGGGAAGACACTTCCAAATCGCAACTATGGGTGGGTGTCATCTATGTTTTTGCATAGTGGAAATGTAAGTGAAATTTAATTTGCCTCTAGACTATAGGTGGTTACCCCATTTTTAAAGTGCCTTCCCTGGGTACCATGTATGTTTTAATGGAACAGCCCTAACCATAAAATTGAATTGTGAAAGAATAATATAGTCATTATAAAGCAATGGTTTACAGTAACAGAGATCCCAGCAAGTTGTTACAATTGAGAATACATCTAGTGCAAGTATGTAATATGTCAAGTTTACAACTGAAATCTTAAAAATGTTCACCACTTTTTCTTGTAAATAATTATTGTATTGTAATTTTATTATCTTACAGTCATAAACATTTTGAGTACGATTATGGTACTCCGAAATAAACCAATCAAAATACTGGATTTGACGTTTCAACAAACTTTGTGCTCCTACCGCCAGTTTTAGGTGTTGAGGATAAAAATTAAGATGGTTGAACTCAAGAAATCTAGATAAAGTCAGATAAAGGCAGGTGTTTCACCTGCATAATTTTAATATGCAGTGCAAATTTAATTCATGCCATATTCCAATGTGATGTCACATTCTGCATGATGATACTGCATCAAAAGTAGCTTTTCACAAAAACTGATAATTTATAAATGTAATTGAATTCATGTGGTATTTTCACCCTCCCCTGGACTCCAGTCAATATGTCACCCCTATAAAAATTAACCCCTTCCACAACCCATTAGGGGTTCAATTTTTCATGGATTGGTTTAAGTTACAATCAGAAAAATTTGACTGAAGGGGTCAGTTTTCCATATGGTATTTTGACCCAAGGGTCACTTTACAGGAGTCAAAATAGCATATGACATCGGCAAACATGAGAAGCTATTTCCAACAATATGACTTACTTTGTTATTTCATTAAAACTCTAGAGCTTGAGTTTCTGTCAATGCTAATTATCAAACAAGAGTATACCAGAATTATTCTATAACTTAACAAGTCAGAAAATACAGACAGTCTAAATGCCAAATTTTTATAGAAAGCTGGTATACATGTCTAGCTAGCCACTGCAGTTGTCTTACCTGTTTTGCTGAGAAAAGGTGACCTTGAAATTTACTAACAACTGTATAGTCACAATCTTTGTCTTCATAGCAGGCTGTAGGTGTCAAAAAATCTCTAGGATTTGCTAACCCATTGGCACCTATTCAAAGAAACAAAACAAGGGTCAATTTAGTGCTTAACATATTGTATAGGTTGTTGTTCATATTTACTAGCTCTATGGTGAAATTGATAAACATTTTCTTCGTTTATAATGATCTTTGAAACAGACTTATTGCCAATCTCACAACTATTTTGTTAGTTTGTATTGTCTGAAAAAATACTTAAAGTAGTTGTGACATCATTGATAAAATCTTGTAGGTCCCTGTTTTTCTTATGTAATATTTACAATGGCATCATCAAGATCACATTTATATCTGTCCTTGAAGATTTACCTATTGGTCCTAGATTAGGAAGTGTAAAATGCCCGTCAAATACTTCCATCATGTAGCCTCTGGTTTCTCCTGATACTGCAACACTAAACCTTATTCCTTGCTGAAAAAAACATGTAAAATATGTTACCTTATTCCTTGTAGAATAATTGTAAACACTTACACTACATGTTGCTAAAATCAGGTAAAACTAGTATTTTAACAATATACAAATGAATCCTTGCTTAAAGTAACGGTACATGGAAATTATAGCAATACTGTAATGATTCAAGCCTTAAGACTTATTTGTTTTAGAAAAGATTTTTTATGAACTATCCTACAAGGTCCAATGTAAAACTATGTTTCAAAGAGTCTGATGACCAGATACCATGTGGGACACAAGTTTAAAATGTTCACTTTTTCGAAATATTCTTGCCGAAAAATAGATCAGATAAACTAACTTATTCGTTTTATCACATTTTAGGTTAACAGTAACAACTTTGTTGGACAGGAGGGGTTATTTGATAACACTCGTGGAAATGATTTACAGCAAATGTCACTCAATTAATTTGATATTCAACTGTTATGAAACTTCCAAATATATCAGCATTGGGGCTTAAATTGTATTTGAACCAAATAAATATGATAAAGTAGATTTAAATATACAAAATAATTTTGTCCATAATTTATGTCTGCATTATTTTATTTGAATTTTTTTTTAATTAAAAATAAATATTTGCGACCAATATTTTACAGTTAAAGAAATCTTTAATTGAAGTGGTATTCTTCTTATATACCTGAATAACACAGATTTCATTTGGATCAACCTGCATTTTTCCAAACTCTGTTGTAATCAAAATTCCTCCTTGTTGTGGTACTGAAAAATAGAAATAGATGAGACAATTCAAAATATCATTACCATATATCTCTGTCAGTTTCACTACATAGCAGTTGCTGAAAATGATGCCTATAAATATATCTCAGTTGTTTCAAACAAAAATGTTGATATTAAGTTTTTTATTTCTTTTTGTCTCCTCAAGAGGCAGTATTCAACCAAGGGCTGTGGCTACAAAAGCCAACTTCCTGTTTTAGCCAGTACATTTTGACCCAGTTTCCAATTCAAGTGCCATCTTTTTAAGTTAGTGGTCATCCTGTTGGAAGCTGGACTGTACAGGTTTTTTTTTGTGCGTTTTTCTTTTACAACATATGGTGGATGATGATGATGGATGGCTGCTTAACATCCAGCGGCAAATTGATATGCATATTTAGGATGAGAACATGTTAATGTCATATGAATAACAACCCTGCTTTGTACTAGACCGACACGCTGAGCAGGAAGGTAACAGTCTGCAGGAAGACACCTTACCCGGACACATTATTCTGACTCCGAGCCGACCAGTCTTTGATCTTACTCTCTAATGCTGCATGCTTAGTGGAGAAGCAGCAAATACCAATTTTAAAGTCTGGTTTGACCTGGCCGGGGTTCGAACCCATGACCTCCCACACTCAATGCAAACATGCTACCACGAGACCACCGAGGTGGTAACATATGGTGGAGATAAACAAAATGGGGGTGGGGTTGTGTGCACGTAAAACATCGACACTTGGTGAGTATATAACAAACTGTAATATATATGCTGTGGATGCATTATTGTTCACGGGATACCAATTTTTGAATATTTAGTGAGTATAGGTAAACCACGAATTTAAATGTTCAACGAAGTATGAATTTCTATGGCTTTTATGTAGACTATAACAAAACAACAAAATCAAATATTCATGAAAATAAAATTTTTCCTCAATCCACGAGAAATTGTTATCCATCAAAATAGGTGAATCCATAGTATTGTTGATATAGTGGATTTTACTGTCATCATGACAACAGAAGTGACAAAAATTTGTACAGATAGATGTCACAACGTAATCAGCCAGGTCAAAGTTCAAATACCAGGGTGATAAACATACCTATCAGAAGATCTCCATCTGAACTGTAGAAACATCTGAAAATAAAATGAGTTAATTTATTTACTATCAAATCTATAGATAAGATTTATTTCAATTAAGTTATTTAGTAAAAATTTCATTAAAGGAATTGTATATCATGTCTTATCCACATTGTTTCAAACCTAGCAACTGTTAATTTTTACTTCTTTTTGGTGATAGATCTTCTTATGAAATATCAATTAAATATTGAAGAGGAAGTCTAACTTCATTAGAACACACTTTTTACTAACTGCAGAGTAAAACCATATTCCGTATGTTCCAGCTAATTTGCTGTTGCAGAAACTGAAGTATTATGGGTAATTTCATTGTTAGTATCCAAAATCAAAATAACATCATGCCATCGGTTGAATTTCCATTGTTTAACATGTTGTAAGCTAATCACAACGTTTTGGTGTTTGCTTTTCAAATTATTCCCCAGAATGCATAAGATTCTGAAGCGGTGAATTTAGATGTTTAGAGGACTGCAGGATCGGCTAAATGGAATATTTCCATTATATACATGGTAAATGTCATATCGAAACCTAAGTTTTGTTAGTAACTAACAAGTGAACAGCAGTTTTGTCTTATATTAGAATTAAAGAATTTGAAATCGTCCTTACATTAATGTTGATGTGACTAATGGAGTAACTAAAGTTTTAGTCAAATAGAAAAGGCAACTGTAGTGCTGTTAACAGACTTTTCCCAAAAATTGTCCAGGAAAATTCTAAATTTTGACAGAGAGGAACTGTTAGCCATGTTTGACATCTTGCTACAGAAGAAGAAATTACCTGACAAATTAAAGAACAAATTGCAATTGCATCAGACAGACAGAGGAAATATGGACTTAAATTTTAGACACAAATGAGTATCATACCACAAATTTAGATACTAATTTTGTAGATGAAGAAGCACAATCTAATCCAATTCAAATATCACATTCAACTAATGAACTTTTGACTGAAGAGAGTTAACTGTTTATTCAATCTAATTAAAATACAGATCCTGTGTCCACTCTTTGCTCACAAGGATATGAGAACACTCAGTTCAACTTTCTGTTCTGCTAATTTTTAAATCAGCCAATCAAATTCTGCTAATTTTTAAATCAGCCAATCAAATTCTGCTAATTTTTAAATCAGCCAATCAAATTTCTACCTCCAAATCTTTTAAGGTGTGTATCATTACTACAATATCATAGGATCCTGAAGGAAGGCCTTTCAAACAGAGAGTAGAACAGAGCTTTGTCAGATCCTTGTAAGCCAAGCGTGGAAACAGCTAGGTTCTATATTACAATCAGAGAGCCGATTAACCCCACTAGTTCATTTGCATTTAAGGAATGTCACAGTTTTGAACATTTTGATTGGTCCATACTTTATTTACTACTAAGAACATCGAGGCTGTGCCATATAATTTAACAAGGACTAAAGTTGAAAATCTGAAATTAGTTAAACACCTGAAGTGATCTGCACAGGTAAATGGGGCATTATGGGTACTGTGGATTCATTTTTTATTCGTGTAATACCAATTTTCGTTGACTTTATGGGTATAGATATGTAAAGCAGGAGTTCAAATGTCCAACATAGTACAAATTTTTATAGATCTGTATGGAGATTTTGGCTTAACAACGAAATCAAATATCCACTAAAATATAATTTTTCCTCAATCTATGAAAATTAATTAATCTAAAGTAATTCATTTCAGTTAGGTAGTAAAAGTTACATATTCTTCCATTCCTTTGTTCCTGATGACTTGGATTTGTATGATGGCTCCTTTAGAAGCTAAGACATTTTCATACATGTGGTTCCATTTTTAAGGCATCATATGATATAAATAAAATTTCAGCAATTTAACAAAATGCAAAGAACCATTTCTGAAAAGGCATCTCAGAGTAAAAAATCCTAATTTTCATACAATGAAATTCTGCAGAAAATTCACTTCTTTGCTTATATTTAATAACTTGTAAGTTTTTACATCTTTATTCTATGACTTTTTGTTTATAAATCATAATTGAGTTTCTCACTTTAAGGCCTACTGCGGATTCATTTATTTTCGTGGGTACCAATTTTCGTGGATTGAGGAAAACTTGCATTTTCGTGGATATTAATTGATTTCATGGTTTTGCCAAGGTTGGCATATATCCTGTAGAATACAATGAAAATTGATGAATCAACAGTATTAGAGAAATTTGACCCAACTGCCAATCAGCTTGCCTAGACCACTTGGTCACCCAGTGCACTTTATTTTTCATTAAATGGAACTAAAATCAGAGGGTATGTATATTGACTTACTTATTATCCATTGATGTGTTACAGGTGTAAATATATATGCCCAGTCCATGTCTACCTTTGGTGTCTCCTGCTCCACAAACTGTGGCCATACCCTGTTAACAGGACACTGATATAAACCAACTAATTTTCGCAAGCGATTTATTGTTGCGACATTCGTGAGTAGAAAAATAAAGCGAATATGTAAAACTTGGATCTTTCCTTATTTAACTACATCAAGTAAATTAGAAAATCGCGAAATTAAATCGCCGGGAAATGGACTAGACAGGGATAGATGCGAAATAAAGTATCCGCGAAAATAAGTTGGTTTACAGTATACAAATAAAATATAACACACAGCAAAGGAAAGTTAAACATTAAAGCTTATATACATTTATATTTACTCTATATCTGATCCATGACAAAGTTCATTGCCTACCTTCTGTTGGTGCTACCTGTATATTCTTAATTGAAATGGCTATTTTGAACTACCGGGTAATATGACAGGTTGTTTAATATATTTATGGGATTCAAATCAACAGAACAATCTTCATGCATGGCAATCATATAAACACTGCATCATTGTGCTGATTAGTGACGTAAAACTTCCCAGAAAACCAAGAAAAATAAAAATAACTCTTCATAAATTTATAGGAACATCCAAAGTGCTTTTGTGGATTTACTTTCATCAGAAATGCTCAAACCTCAAAATTTGAAAGTCAAGGATGTATAGATTCTTGAAAACTTGAGTACCAGTAGCTATATGACCAAAATTGGTCTTAAAATGAATAGCCAAATCCATCTGTGTCAACTTTGCCTGAGAGAGTTGGATCCTTAGTTTCCTCATAATTCATAAATTTATCGACAGAGAATTTAAGATAGGCATGTTATAAATTCTGTCAGTGCACAATCACTGAGCTGACAAGACTGTCAAGGACTAACATTCCACCTTCATATAAAGAAATACTTTGGATATTTCATCATCACTAATCATGTTGGTGATGGCATGAGCAGTTTTGGGCCAATACTAGCAATAGCTCCATAACATTCTAAAAGATTTTTTTGGGGGGTACAATGGAACCACACACTAATCATTAATTTGATATCTTTTTATTAATGTCTTCAGAACCCCATCCTACCCCCCCCTTTATCAAATCAATTCAGGAATTCTCAAAATGGTTTGTGAGTCACATAAATCTCAAGATAAGATGGCAGCGATTTCAGACCTTATATTTTTTGTCTCACATGTATAGTATTGGATTCAATAATCCAGTTTTTAAAACCAAAAAAATGTTACTGTCTCACTATCAACCATGAAATGATGTAAAAATTAAATTTACATATGTATCAAATACAGACCTGAACAAAATCCACTTTCTTCTGGCTTACTTTTGTTATATCAAATGGTTTCCATCTCATCTGCAATATTTATATGCATGGATTAGAATAAAAATATACAATTGTTATCACAACTTCAGAAAAAATATTTTTGGATTGACAACCAGAGTTCTATTTTTGTCATTTACAAAAATTAACATAATTCCAATTGTCGTAACTACAATCTCGTCCCCTTCCCCCGAATATGACCTACCGAATTAGACATATCACCAGGTTTGTACTTACATGAGCAACACGATGGGTGCATGTGGAGCAGGATCTGCTTACCCTTCTGAGCGCCTTATATCACCCCCAGTTTTTGGTGGGGTTTGTGTTGCTCAGTCTTTAGTTTTCTATGTTGTTTTGTGTACTGTTGTTTGTCTGATTGTCTTTTTCTTATTTAGAAAGTTTGAATGTCCCTTTGGTATTCTTCACCTCTCTTATAAAAAAGTTAAATAAAAAAGGCTCCAACATTATACATATTACCTTGCAACTTGCAGCTCAGATGTATCATAATTTTCAGTAGAAGTCATTGATGTTATTCCTCAATTTTTTATTAAAGACTTGAACAAGAAAAAAGTGAATATTTACTCAATAGCTAGAGATACTTTAGTTCAGATAGTCTGTTTTTCCATGTCCAATTTCATTTTCAGACAAAGTTTAATAATTACTTGACCAAATGTCCCAGAAACAAGAAATATTTACCAAATCAAACAGTACTTTAAATTCAGAATTTTTTTTATGCATAATTATATTTTGGGGTATTTGAGCAATGGACAAAATTGGGATACTGTAAATTCAGAAATTATTGCGAGGTTTTTATTAATGCGAATAATGCGACTCGGTGAGTATCGCAATAATAAGAACTCGCATTTTGATAACTAAACCATAATTCTGTATGTAGATTATTCTAAAATTGCAATAATTAAACTCGCATTATTGTCCATTTTTTTAAAATCGCAATAATAAATGCACGCAATAATTTCTGAATTTACAGTATTAATTATTGCATTTTCAGGAAATCTTACATACAAATAGCACGAATAATGCTATCAAAATATAAAATGTGATTCTTTATTTTTGCAAAACCTATCCAGACGCAATTTTCACAAATAATAAAAACTTCAAATATTTTTAAATTTAAAGTTTTTAAATTTATTTTCAAGGAATCAGTCTGAGAGTCTTCTGAATTTGTTGCATAATGAACCAGTAAAAAATAACAACTTGAAAGTATCAAACCAAACTTTACTTGACTTTTGTCATTGCTTTTACAGTCAGTCTGTGGAATCTACAATTTACTTCAAATTAAATCTTCCTGCTTGCTCACTTTCTTATGCTTGGTTGCTGAGTAAGCATTAACTACAAAGGTTCTAAAGAGCCTATGTTGCTCACCAAGGCCTATATGCATCTTCAACAATAGACATTCTCAAAGATTGTGAACTAGAATATAATTCATGACAAAAATCTGATAATTTTTTCTGTTAAAAGTTTCTCTCTATCTTCTTTAACTTTTGCCCAAGACATGTGCTAATTTTAATTACCTGGTTTGGGTTTGGTTTAACTTTGTCCCAGTCATTAGTAAATAGACCATTGTCGATTGCTTTGAATGGATTATGTTTGACGGAAGGTCTGATACGGTAAAGCCAGCTCCTGACATTACTTTCCCTTGGTGCAGTGAAGGCAGAACCAGATAATTGTTCAGCATACAGTCCATATCTACATTTCTGTGGGTTATTCTGAAAATATACAGTCAAAATAAGAAATAAATATAAAATTTCTGATAACCTGATTACATCTCTCAATGAGTTAAACTTCATAAAGCTGATTCTGATTTTATTGTCCACGTTCCAAACAAGCAAACTTAACGTGACACACTTTTCTGTCATATATATGTGTGTGTTAGTTCTTCTATGCACATGCTTTACTCCATTGATTGAAATTAAAAAGGGGAGTTTTTAGCACAAAAAAGAAATAATCTAATCCAGCAACAGGTTAATGTGTCTACACAAGGACAGAAATCTCAGTAGAGGTTGTCGTTAGTTATATTTTAATATTTTTGTCCTTTAAGATATTCAGCATTTTTGGTAAATCTTTTTAAGACTCTGTTTTATTTATTTACGAATGTTCTAGTCCTAGCATGACTTAGGGGTTGACTTATTGAATAAACACCGTTCTATAGTTAAAGAATGCAATTTGACCTCCTGATGCATTTTGGTCATTTGTGACAAATGCACTTTATATATGAATTTTACCAGGATAATCTTCCATTAGTTTAGGTTGGTCAAGATGGGGTTTCAGCTTAAAACCTGATTTACAAATTTTACAAGACTGTTCAAAACCTAAAATAAGACAAAAAGTAAGTTCGAAGTTGTAACGTTACTTAATTGTCAATTAATTAAGTTCAATTTGAATTAAATGAAAGGCTATTACCAATCAAAATTCATTGCTCAAGTAGAACTGAAGTAAACCAAGGAATGTATCACCTTGAAAAAACTGTCTCACCTGTACAACATAAATTTAATTATCTAACAGTTGTTTAAATAGCCCCATAAAAAATGCAGACTAAACTGAACAATAAAAAGATTAACGTTAACATGTACAATACAATACCTGTCCTTGTGGCAGAGCACCAGGACACCTGGGATCTTCACTGGTAAATTCATTACCAAATCCTGACATATACTGTAACTTATCCTACAACAGAAAGATGAATAATCAGCCTCAGTAAAAACTTTCAGCAAAGTGATTTCAATGATTTAAAGATAAGGTAAATTTAAAACATAAATTATATGTTTGCTCCTATAAAATGACTCCTTTTAATGATCACTATAAATCCCTTAGTGTGCCACATGTGGAGCAGAATTTGCATACCCTTCCAGAGTACATTTTGTACGCCTGGTTTTTTGATGGGGTTGGTGTTGCAGTCTTTAATAGACTATTTTCATATTACCGACTTTTGACTCCAGATTATATAATTTGTCGACTGGTTACCTGGTTACTATTTGTAGGAGTTATCTCCCCGAACACTGTTTTCCTTGTGACTGCATCTCCTCCGTAACCGTATAAGAAAGCGACAAATTTATTTTATAAAATTGCTCGTTATATCCTTCGCATGATTTGTCCAATTTTGACCGAAACCATACGAACACTCCATATGAGAGTTATTTCCCCTTATGCATTTGATATAAGTGATATGCATTTCTATCTTGTAAACCATAAGTGATAGAGACCTAGGATCTTTTGATTTGAGGTCCTTGGTCCAAAAATAAGAAAATAAGGTCAAGGTCAGAGGTCAAGGTCATATTTTAAATTTTGATTTTGGCTTATTTTCAATTCTTTTCAAAAACCGTATAAGATATCAACAACATATTTTTACTAAATTGTAAGTTGCGACATGTCGTAACACATAAATTTTGGTTGAAAGGGTACACTAACATTAAATTGGAGTTTTCTCCCCTCTTATATTAAAAATTAGGCATAAAGTGATATAACTCATTAACCATATATAATTAAGACCTATGGTCTTTTGATTTGAAGTCCTTGGTTTATGACCTTGAAATTGAGCTCAAGGTCATAGGTAAATTTGACGTTCTAGATATTGACCTTTGCTTTTACCTCATATGCATACATGATAAAGCCATGGGACTTACTTAAATGAGTTATTTCTAAATCACTGATTCAAGTAACATTTTGTCCACAAATGTTGGAAGTAAGAGTTGTCTTTCTTTAATAATCACCTATTTAAGTAGTACAAATAAATCACTAGACTAAGTGATTTAATTTTATTGTAGCTTTAAATATACAATACTAATGATCATGGGACTAATTATGCTGCTAAAATTATCAGAACCAACATGTGTGTTGATAGGATGACCGGTCATGTCAGGTGATGACCCTGTACTAAATCTGGGATAATGACATAAATCACTTGTTTAAGTATCATACCTCTATTTTCTTCCAAAAAATCAATTCTTTAAGTATTATTATTTTAATAATCCCCACTAATTTCAACACCCCAGAACAGTGAAATTTTGATCGCGAACAGTAAAAAAATTTTTTATTACATAATCTGTAAGATGAAACCTTGAATTTTACAGGAAAATACTCCCACTGCTGGGAAAAATCTGTTAAGAAAGTATCAGTTCATTATACGTATAAAGCCTTCATTATAGCATTTTTTCAACAAAAATAGAATTTACAGCTAAATTGCATCAAATGGCATAAACCTTGCTACTTAAAAGAAGCAAAAGGTTCATTTTTTTCAATTTTACTAATAATAAGATATACCGGTAATCTAAACCTATGTGTTTAAAAACTTCGGTAAAACTACAAAATCACAATTTGTGACAAAATTTCGAATTTGCTACTTAAATAAGTGATTTTATAAATAACTTATTTCAGTAAGAATCCTCTGACTGTATATAGAACATATTTTTTTTCATCTGGCAAACATGTATTATAGTTACAGGAGTTAATTTTCATGGTACTTTAGGGCCAATAATGACCCTTCCTCAACCTTCACATATTAAAAGTTAATATTTCAAGCAGATGATGTGTTATTGTTCTATGCCTATCTTTCTGACATAATCAAAGGACCTGAGCAATCTGACCTTGATAAAACAGACTTTCACCAACTTTTGTATATGGTCACAACAGGAGGTCCAGAATAAAAAAATATATAATTTTTGTTATTATTGTTTGATGAAAACCCTTAGTTTTGTCAATTTGTAAGCATATATATTTGTTCCACCTAACATAAGTTCCACTGGAAGCTTTGTTATAAACAATGCCATAACATATGTTCCTGATGGAACAAATATTCTATAATCTATTTCATTAGTAACAAATACATGTACTGTAATATTTGTTCCACCAGAAGACATAAATTATTACAGAATATTGATTCCATTTGGAACTTATTTTAATCTAGGAAATTTCATGATAATATATCTTAATCATTTTAATATGTTGTGCATGTGGTGTTTTATCTAAATTTTTTTTACATTTTATTATTTTTTTTATTGTTTTGTTTGTTTTTTGTTTTTTCTGTGGGGGTGGGGGGAATGGGGTGAAGGCAGATATTCATATCTTTTTTTAACGTGATTCGTCAAAGTATCCTTATCGTGATTCATCAGATGTCTCAAAAAATTAGCTGTTATCGTTATTTTGGAAACAATTTAACGTGATTCATCAAAATCTGTCGATTTTTTGACCTTCAGAAAGAAAATGTATATTTTATCGTCATGCACCAAATATTACTGTTAACATCATTTGGCAAGACTTTTTTAGCATTATTCGTCATGAATGCACCCCAGTACGACCCTCATGTAGATGGTACATTAATTTAGGCATGACTTCAAGATGTTTTTTGGTTGTACCTATTTGGGTTGCAGTTGTAACATAAAATATTGTCCTCCATGAAATATTGTCCGTTTCATAATGAAATACTGTCCAGGACAATATTTCATTATGCAATAGTGTCCTTGTCCATGAAATTTTGTCACCTCCTTCTGGACAATATTTAACTATGAAATTCTGTCCATGACAATATCTCACTATGAAATACTGTCCATGACAATATTTCACTATGAAATACTGTCTATTTTACATTATTTCACTGTGAAATTCTGTCCATGACAATATTTCACTGTGAAATTAACGTCCATGAAAATATTTCTTAATCAAATTATTACAAAATTAGAAAAAGTACACAAGCATGCAGCATGCACATTTTTAGATTTATAACTGAAATTATTTTGTAAAGTAAGTATTTTATATTTCAAACTAATATTTATTTTAACATAAGCTAGTTTCAAATTTGCATAGATACTTTATAAATGGTTAATTATAGATTAAAGAATTGTCTAATGTATGTTCCATTGTACTACATTATACTGGTTAAATATAAGTTAAATGTACTGACAATCACTTATATATGTTCAAAATTGAATGTACTAATATTATTCCTTAATAAGGTAGATTGAAAAATCTTTTTGCAACAGAGTTTTGGAGGTACAGGAGTACAATGTAACTGAAATATTAATTTGTGTTTATTTGTTATTATCAGTCAAATAAAATATCATTATCCAACATGATATATGTTGATAACCTCCCCTTCATGAGACAAAATTTCATGACAATTTGTCTATGAAATATTGTCTCAATACACACAAAATATAACCTCCCTTTAACAGGACAAAATTTCATAGTATTCATCTGTGAAATATTGTCTATATACAGACAATATTTTGCAATGGACATTTTTTCATAGATGAGGACAATATTTCATGATTAACATTGTCATGAAATATTGTCTTGGTGGACAATATTTCATAAAACAATATTTTGCTTTACACAGTCGCCATGAATGTATACAACACTTCCCAAATTATTCATTAGACTGCCTCACCAAATTTCTTTTTTAGATTACTAGGCATACATGTTCACAAGATAAATGCAAAACTGATGACCAATCAAATTGTTGCATGTGACACACCCACAAAAGTAGCTAGAACTGTTGGTTTGAAATTACTATTCCACAACTTTAAACTATTACAATAAGATTGTTATACTTTGCCAAAACGAATTCCGGTTCTCTTAAATAAAGATTAATTTAAAAATTCGTATTCTAAACCTTTCCAACAAGTAATTGACAAAAATGTCAAGGTCACCACGTATCAAAGTGTTTATCACAAACAAATGCAGTGACAGCTTATAAATTTTATTGTAACCACTTTCAAAAATTTGTATTATCAATAATACACTAAGACGACAAGTAATTTGTGTTAAAATTCATGTAATATTACAAATTAGTGGTGTTGTTTACCTTTTGCAAGCTCATGTTGAACGATCTTGATCTTTTGTACGCTTCCCTTGCTAAATCACCTTTCGTTAAACGTTTTATTGAATTAATTATATATCTTTTCGAACATGTTCTAGACTTATCATACTTTACTATCATAAAACCAGAGAAATTTAAATTATCTTCATGACCTTCACCTTTTAGTTTCTTGGGCTGAAACAATTTTAGTTACTGAAGAAAAATGCTACTTTTTCTAAAGGAGCATCCGCTGATGATCAAATAACAGCTGTCTTGACAATAGTTTTATTATTTGCTACAACTGATTCAGGTAAATTTTTATGATTGCATGCTCGATATTGGAAAATTCACGTGCATTGTCTGACTCTGCACTATAGATGCATTCCATTTTGCATTTTGTTCCTTCTGAATTAGTAGCTTTGGAAGTCGTTTATTTAATGCATTTAAAAAAAACCGTTATGACAGTGATACGATAGTCAATGGGCAATATAAATTAGCTTAAAAGCAATTATAACAAAAAGCTCAACATACTGGGACAAATCACCCAAATAGGTTATAATACCCCGTTTGGCATATGGAATATAAATTTACTGTGCAAAACAATTTTTTTTTTTGGATTCAAGGGAAAATATAACACACCTGCCAACTATCCTGATTTTGGAGGTATTATCCCTTTTTGGTACTTTAAAATGAATTCTGAACTAGGGTTTGTAAAACAAGCCACAATCGTGATTTTCATAAATTCTATCCCCAGTCCCCAGATTTTGAACTTTTTCCCAGGGAGACAATCAGTGTCAGCAATAATTAGCGAAATTAAATTCATATTTCCTGTGATCACATTTCATCTCCTGATGAATGGGGACATTGTCATCAAGCAAATATTTGAACTTGTATGGAAATTTTGAGTTGTATTCCTCTGTCTGTATGTTAGAATTTAAAAAAAAAATGCTAATCATGTTGGACAAAATTTTAACTTGCAAGAAGGTTGTTATGCTGCCTAAGAAAAGTGTGGTTTTATTCAGAGGCTGGTTGACAAATTCATTGATAAGGATATTACCTTCCTTTTTAGCTCACCTTTTCTTTCAAAGTATTATATTCTCCTTTGAAACTGCTCAATGGATTGAAACCAAAGTTTGTCAGCTTTATCTGTAGGATGTCATCTACAATGTATAAGGTTATTGATGTTTGTCCAGGTTGATCAACCAATATATATGGCAGCTACATGTATGTCTAAAATAGAACAACATTGGGGCTGGGCTATCATTAGAAGCCGGTAGCTGGCAGTTTTCTTCGTCTATAGCACAGAAATCAGCCAGCTACTTTGCCCCAAAGTATATTGTTGAAAACATCACCAAAAAAAAAAATATGTTGACAATAGTTTGACTATTTCTAAAAGAATAAAAATCTAAACTGACCTTGATATGTTTTTATGCAAATAATTTTGCGAAACGAAACTTTTGTTAAAAGCCCCTTACAATAAGTTTGTTTACTATTTTTTCATAATTCCTTAAGCTTTTCAACTCCTAGATTTTCGAAATAGACCCGTCCAAACGTGGAAGACGTCAATTTAACAGTATCAGATATCCTCAAACCATTTGGAATATTCTTATTCATAGATAGTCTGATTAAAAAAAAAAAACGATATTGCCTGCCAAAGTATGAAACCGATATCTTCGTTTTTCCATTGGACAGGTCTACTTCGTTTATGACACAGATGGTAAAGTGTTCGTGTGACGTGTGAAAATTTTTTTTCAAGTGTTTTCGTGCTCATCATTTACTTTGTTTCCTGAAAGTTAATATAAAGCCATGATTAGCTGTTTTTTTTCGTAGTTGAATTGGCCATTTAATATCTGTTTGTCCGTGGACATACCCCCTTTTAAAAACTTATGTGACGATAGTATGCATTGTACATGTACGTTTAAAACAGCTGCGCAATAATGTTTGGACCAAAAAATTAAGAAAAACCATAACAAAAACTAATGTTAGTAAGCTGAAATATTTATCAAATTTACACATACATGTATTTCTGTCTTGTAAGAAATATTTTTCTTTTTTTTTCACTTAAAAATCTGTAAACCAACAAATTAAAAAACTCTGGCCTTGGGAAAAGAAAAGATATCTTTATCATAATGTAGATCGATTTTCTATCCCTAATCTTACAGTAAAACGTGCTGCCTGCCCCTTCCATGCTAATGTTAAAAATCATAGTTTACACTTGTATTCAGCAGCGACATCTAATAAATTGTATCAAAAAATGTGTATAAACAAATACATAGAGATAAAGGGATCCTGACAGGCTAAGATACCTGATTGACTATGACTTTTTATTTTGTTGTAACCATGAACTATGCTGATTTAAGTTTCCTTTTAATTGCTATTTAAATGCAAATGCATATATACCATTTACAAATAAGTTTGTTAAAATTATGTATTCATTTTCCAATTTTCAGGATTAGAACAGAAACTTGCATACTTGTTTGATCAATTTAGTGATAAATATCAAATTCTAATATGACGTTCTTCTTTCGCTTTGTAAACAACACCGTGATAAAATTCTCGATATATCTATACTTAGCGCAGACTGAGAGATATACATAATAATGGATGTTACAATATCCCTCCCACGTAAATCCACATGTATCGGAACCTATTTGCAAACGCTATGCCGATTTTATTGTTATAAAATTAGCAATTGAAAAAAGACTACAGCACTTTTATTTTTAATCCGATTCATAACAAAAAGAATTAATCCAAAAGAGCTCGGAGAAATCGACAAAATAAAAATAAAATAAAAATCTGCGAAAGTCAATTAATGCTTTTGGCGTATTTAAGTCATTTCAAAAACTGCCATCATACAGATGAAAACGCTAAAGCTGAAGTTACAATTTTGTACTACATGTATGTATTTATTTTAGCAGTTGAGACAGAATTCTTTTTTCCCTTTGAAACTTGTGAAATGTATGTTAAAACAGAAATGATAATCATGAGGATCAGTTAGGAAGAAAACAATAAATATACCCTGCATCATATTGCTTGTAATCTCTTTTCTACATGTTTAAAGTTCAATAAGAAGGGCCCAAAAGGGGTCCAAAACAAGCATTTTTCTAGTTTCAGAATAATAACTTGTGTATAAGTATTTCGATGGCTTTTGAATTGTACTTCAATGTTTAATACCACAAAAGGAAGGTTGGGATCTATTTTGGGGGTTATGGTGCCAACAATTTAGGGATTAAGGGCCAAAAAGAAGCATTTTTGTAGTTTCCGGACAATAACTTGTGTGTAAGTGTATGGATCTCTCTGACATTATACCACAAGGTTCCATATCACAAAGGGAAGGCTGGGGTTGAGTTTGGGGGTAATTGCCCCAAACATGCAGGAATTAGGGGACAAAAAAGGGCCAAAAACAAGCATTTTTCTAGTTTCCAGACAATAATTTGTGTTTAAGTGTAGGGTTCTCTCTGAAATTGTACTACAAGGTTCCATACTACAAAGGAAAAAAAGGCTGGGATTGAGTTTGGGGGTAATTACTTCAAGGGGGGATTCCAAAAAATTGGGGGGGGGGGGGGGGGGGATTTTTTTTTCCAATGTTTTTAAGGAGTTCATATTTTTTTCAAAATTTTTCAAATTTCAAATTTTTGAACAGTTTCAAGAAGAAATCATCAATTGCACAGTATTGCGCCATAGATTTGTAAGACCTTTGACCACATTTGTTTTGTGTCAGAAACCTATATTATCAAAAATTTGATCACAATCCAAATTCAGACAGTATCAAGCTTGAAAATTGTGTCCAAACTTGCCCCAACTGTTCAGGGTTAGACCTGTGCAGTCGTATCAGGCTGCGCTCAGCAAAGCATTTTATTGCAGTTGTTTGGCTGTTTTCAAGAAAAGTGTAGGAGCTAGGTTAAAAGTGTAAATACAAAAATGATCAGCATGACAAGATCTATATTGAAACTGAAAATTTCAGAAAAATCCCTGAAATATACATTTTTTTCTCCCAATTTTCTCACAGAGGCGACAGGTTAAAAGTAACCTACAACAATGACCATCATGAGAAGATCTATTTACTCTGAGCACGCTGATATTATTTTAAGTTATTGCCCTGAAATGTTGATTTTTACTGTTTGTTTTTTTGCAGTTTTGGCTGTTAACAAAAAATACTATAGAAGCTGGATTAAACATGTAAATTGCAAAAATGATCAGAAACACTAATCATTTTCTAATAGGAACTATTGTATACGTGCATAATACAGTAATTAGTAAACTGGCAATTTTTTTTACCAGTGAGCGATACAGGCACAGGTATGCCTTTTGTTGCAAAGTTGACCATGGTGGCCTGAATGTCTATGCAGCTCTCTGGATGTCTTTTTGTTTTTGTTGTCAATGTGTTGTTAGGTTGGGGTCACATTGATGACTATCCAATGTCTCTTTTTATTCATACTTATTAACAGTATTAGCTGTACAGTCTAGGGAGTTTTTGGGTTTCAAAACTTTTTGTCTTGAGTATACCGAAGAAGGTTATGATTTTCTTATGATGCTGGATTTCTAATAGCTTAAGGATGTTCGCTACTCTGTTTCAAAATAACAAGATTTTTAAAAGTCTGTACTAAAATGATAGTATATAAATAAAGGAACTAAAAAAGCAGAAAAAAATGAAGGGTCCGTGTGCTTGTTTTCAAGATAAAAGCCACTGAAAATTTGGCGGGAAATGATTCTCTCTAGATTTTTCATACTTTTATCATTGGCCGCTTTTTTGTTTCAAAAACTATGAAAAAATAACAAGGATTTCATAAGATTTTCAAAGATGGCCTTTTAAACTATATGTAATAAAATATGAAATGAAAAGTAGGGGTTAGTGGGCAAAATTTTTTAATGGCAATACATGGATAAAACCAGAGGATTCCGAAAATCTTGCAGAAATTCAAAAACAAGAGGAGCAAACATCCTTAATTTTACTAGAAACAATTTTATTCTGACATTCAGCATAGCACTGTGGTGGTTTGATATGTTAGTTCATTATCACATAATGATACCCCCATTAGTAAAATAAAAACAACATAACTAAATGTAGTATCAAATTAACAGGTTGTATAAATTTCTAGAAAGGCAACACATACATCATGTACATTCTCAGTTATGAACATTGATGATTTGAAATTGTGTTCTTCATGAGAAATTAGTTTTCTGTGAAATATTTTGCAGACTAGCTGTTTGTCTTCTCAAAGTTGTAATAACTTTGATTTTTTGATATTTTTTTTATCGCCCCTTGGCATTTTAATCTTGAACATGAATGAATACAGAGTTAAATACTGG